AAAATTAAAATTTGGCATTAAATGACCCATAAGGAGTTGATATGCCATTAAACAAACTAATCGATCACACATTCAAAGGTAAAATCTATTATGGGTTTGACGTTATTGTTTATTGACAAAATCAGGTAAAATTATGTTTTGTGGATATATTAATAGAAAATCATCTGTGTGTCTGAAATGATAAGAATTTTGTGGTAAAATATTTTTGAAAGGAGAACTTTTCAGAAAGCCCCAAAATAGACAAGTCAAAAGGTGCATCCTCATTAACAGTTGTTGGAATGCTTCCTTCATTTTGTTCCAGTAACCAACTCACATAATGTTTTAACTGATTAAAATCGGCAAAATTATTGCTGTTCAAACAATTGAGAACTCTCATATTTGTCTGGATATGAAAAACTTTACACTGACTTCAAATGGAAGATTTTTTCATGCATTCATCAATTTATGAAGGTCATTGAGCTCTTCGGACTCTCAGAAGAATCTTTGCTAGGGACTAATAATTTTCCTTCAAGAATTTACTCATTGTTTATTACGTCTTGAAGCATGCAATCCAAAGCATCAAGAAGATGTTTCGGTGGTACATTAGAGATTATCCCACACCAATATCTGAGTATCATTCAGAAGGCAACCAGTTACATCATGAGACAATATGACAGGTTGATGTGGATTATCTATCATATATGAATATCAGTCTATTCATATCCATTTATTTTTACCTAAACTTGATATAAATTGCCACAAAGTAAATGTCCAGCTATTACTTATGACAATAAAATGAAATTAAGTTAAACTTTTAAAAAAATTAATGTGAAAAGTGCATTCATATCAAAATGACAAATAATTTCTCAGCCAATAATTTAATAACTTTTAAACACTAAAAAAAATTAAACATACAAAATTTTGTTGAACTTTTCAGAAAATTTATGAATTTTGTTTTTAATAGCAACTTGAGCAGTCACTCACTATCTCTCTATTTGTTCTGACAATTCTATAAAACATTTTTACCATTTTTGAAAGGCGAGTCTGCTAGAATTTGACCCACATTTTCTTTGTGTGTTTCTGCTCAAAATTCAGTTTTGATAACCAATTATTTAATTAGTGCTTAATGTTTTCTGAAATGTCAACTGAGAAAGAATGGAGGTAAATATTGGTGGAAATTTTGTGATTAAAAAATTAAGATTAGGATATTTGTAGGAATAATTTTGTCAGATTCACAACATTTCTAATTTTTGTTATTAAATTGTAGCTGTCTTAAGCCAAATGATTCTTTACTTGAAATATATCTTCAGTAAAGACTGTTGTCTACAGCCATGTAAGGCTATTCACTCACTCTCTCTCTCTCTCTCTCTATATATATATATATATATATATATATATATATATATATATATATATATAGGTGTGATGGGTGAATTGTCACCATTTCATATTTTTAATTTTGTGCATACGTGCTGTTTGTTTTTGATTTTGTTGACTACGCAGTATAGTACGGTCAATTCGGTACTGTTTGTGAGAAAAAGAGCACCATGCTGCAATTCACTCTGCCTGTAACCTGGACACAGCCTACCATACTGCTTGTCATTTACCAGAAGCTCCAATACAAACTTTTCAGACTGTTTGAGTGTTAATCTGAGGACATTTACAGAGGATTGGTGTTTGGAGTGATCACTAGTAATGGTGACATTATGCCTACATTCATCTTCCCACAGGGCTTCACACTTAACATAGAGGCCTACATCAAGTGCCTTGAGGAGGTAGGGCTGCTCTGGGTCTAGAGGGTGTCTGCTGGAAGACCCTATGTCTGGTAACGGGACTGCATCATGTCACAAGCAGGAGAACACAGTCATGGCTATCAGACAATTTCTGCGACCACATAACCCCTTACATCTGGATACCTAACTCCCCAGACTGCAATCCCCTTGATAATTGTGTGGGGAGCAGTTGAATAAGAGACCAAAAATACTCCTTGTAACACCAAAGATGAACTGAAGACAAGGATTATGGCAGCATTCACCGACTTAAGCAAAGAGACCATCCAGAAAAGATGCAGGAGATTCCGAAGTTGTCTGAAAGCCATGGTTCAAGCCAATGGCAATTTTATTGGATAAATTTACTCTTTAGTATTTCAAGATATTTTTGTGTAATTTTGGTAAATATATCTGTTAAAATGAGATATCAATGTTATTTTCATTTTTGTGTAATTTAGACGACAATTTATCCATCGCACCAGATATACATTTATATATATATATATAATTTTGAATTATAATTTCTGATTATTTGTGGCACTTTATACTTTTTTCTGTGATTCATAAAAATAACTGACTTATCCTATCAATGCTTTTGATAATAGTCTAAATATAATGTTTACTTCATGTAACCTAATTAGGTGAAAATCCTGATGAACATAAATGTGTGTGACATTTGTGATCATATTACCTGTTTGCATTGAGAAAGTTCCATTTCCTTTAAATAATATATTCACACACACACACCTACACACAGTATGAAGCAGAATTTTCTCACATATGGAAATCTGGCGGCGGTTGCACTCTTTCTCTCTGTATATCTGGCTTATATTGATAAATAATCCTACTGTGAGTGTTTAAGTTTGATATGATGAATCCTGCATTTATGGGAGAGACTTTGATACAACTTATCATGGCCAGTAGAGTAGGTCAGAGTATATCTGAAATAGTCTGGTCTTGTTGGTATGTTCATAGTCGGTTATCGTCATTACCTCTCAGTTGTGCACAGGGAGGAGGGCACAACCACTTAAAAGACATGGGGTAGCCAAGATATATCAATACAATAAGTCAACAGAAGAAAGGTTATTTGGTCTGAATCACAGATATCTGTAATCAAGGTGAAGGGAAGAATGTGTCACAACACACAGTACATCAATATCTTTGCCTATATGGCTGTGTAGCTGAAGACCAGTCAGAGTAGCCTTTGCTAACTAGCATCTTCAATTGATATGGAACTGGACTTTGTATCAATAAAGGAAATTCACTGGGTCTGATGTGTCTTTTTAATAACAAGTTCAGCATGAATTCTTATCTTGGGAAATGACAATAGCAGGATGCACCTTGGAAAAACAACAACCCAATGGTCGGCAGCAATATGATGGTTTGGGTAACCTTCTGCTAGGAGCTGCTGAATCAAATCATTAATTTGTCACACACTACTGACCCCAATATCACAAATGAACAAGTACATGTTTTGACAAATCTTCAGTGATGGCTTTCATGTCTTCCCCAAGCACAATGCAGTTGTTTGGTAATGCTTTCAGGGACACTAAGAAGTCTTTCCTGTGTTAGTGTGGCCTCCAAACTCCCCAGAGCTGAATCCCAATGAGCACTTTTGGGATGGGTTGAGCCAACAAGTTGACTCTGTAGATCCTCCACCACATAATTTGCAACAGTTAAAAGACCTGCTATTAACAAGCCAACATCAGATCTCAGAGAAAATTTTGAGGTCTTGTAGAAATCATGCCTGATTGGGTAAGAATTTTTTTGTGTGTATGTAATTTAAAAATTATAACATAAATATCTTATAAAATCATTACAAAAATAGCCATTTTGTTTCAACACCTCTGGTGTCTTATCAAATTATGATGTTGAATGTAGATTGTAAGGTTTTAAAAGGTTCAAATTAATTAACCACTCCTCATAAGGGGAAACGCTGTTACATAAGCTGGAATGACCAATCAAAATACAAGTATACGAGAATTCAAAGAACTTGACAACAAAGTAAGGTTATAGTAACTATTAAATACTTTAACGTTGGGGTTATACTAAAATAGAATTTATTCTAACTAATAAGGATTGTATGATAAAATTTGAAATTAAAATTAAAAACTACCCATTTTAAAATGTAAATTTAATCTCTATTTAAAATTTTAAAATTATTGAGGAAAAAAGAAAAAATACATGTTATTCTATTTATTTTGTTTCTATTGAAATTACGTTGGAATAAGCGTTAAGATCGACTGCTCTTAATGAAAACATGGATACAAGTGTAGGCATGGGATTATGACATCTTGCGAAAGACAATACATACACAATCAGATTATAATACATAAGCACGCAGACATATTTAGATATATACACACACAAAAAAGTGACGAGACAGGAAATATTTGCACGACCTTTTACAAAAAAAAAATTAAAACCACACACATACACAATGAAATGTGCATGCAATTTACTATACGCATAGACACTGATAAAGACATGTACATGCCTATTTTTGTAGTGATTTTATAAGATATTTATGTTATAATTTTTAAATAAATAATTATATTCGCTCTACTGTATTGAGCACTCTTTTAAGAATAGTAATTGTTGGTTATTGGAATTTATTCCATATACATCAATCCTATACTTGTGTGTATGTATATATATATGTGTGTGTGTGTGCAGTAATTATTGGGAAGTGCTCAATATCAGTGATAGAGCTAAATCTTGGATTGCTTATATAGGTGTGTTTGTGTGAACTAAAATGCATACACCTGTATGTATGTATGTCTGTGTGTATGAGAGTGTCATCCCAAATGGACACAGAGGAGAATTGCCCTCTCCCACCACCAAACAATCAAACACAGATTCAATTTTAAAAAATAAACCAGTTTGTCTGATGATCACAAAAGCATGAAACCCAGTGTCACAAATTCATATCCATACAATTGAATATATGTATGTATGTATATATATATATATATATATATATATATATATATATATATATATGAAAGAACATGGCATAGTTTTAGCACATATTTCTCCAACTCAAATTCATGGTCAGTGTCTTTAGTATTTTTTTAATAATTAAAATAGACACAAAAATGGCAGCAATGATGAAAATTTTAGATTTATCCTCTGAATGACCATTGAGTATTTCATAAATAGTAAAATGTTAATTATTTAAAGAACAAAGCAAAATTTTTAAAACTTAACAAATCATTATGTAATGTTTCCTTCCTTTCTTTCTTTTCATAGGAATTGACATATTTCAACAAACAAGAAATTTTACAGTAAGTTTTCTCTTCTTTGTGGAAGTGATTTTTTTTCTTCCTTCCTATCTAGAATCTGCCATTAATCCACTCCAGTAAATGCACATGAGGAGATGATGCAAATTATGTTGTTTCAATATAAGCATTCATCTGACACTGAAAATTGGCAAATGTAATAACCAATTCTCTTTAAAGACCATTGGATGCTGCAGACATCTGACAAGGTAATAACTCAGCCAAAATGTTATCATCAAATCCAGATGCAAATGTGAAGTGGCAAGCAAGTTATCCTCAATTTGTTTCTAACCAACCACAAGGAACAAACTGAAACTTCTGAAAGAAAATTCTTTTATTACAGTTGGGTTTTTTTATCACTTTAAATGTTACTTTTAGTGAATACCTATGTTTAAGTAGATGCCTAGTGTATTTATTTTCGTTTACTAGCCTGAATGCTCAAGAAATCTTAAAGAAAAATATATCTCAAATATTCAGGCTGGTAGATGAAAATAAATAAAAAAGTTTAAAAACAGAGCATCTTCTCAAATCCACTAGAAAATAATGTTTTAAGTAATAAAAAAATATGTCTAATTAATAAATGAAAAATCCATTACTTTTTTAGAAAATGATAAAATATAAAAAATGCACTCTGTGTCCAATTAAACCTTTTTGGCTCTTTTATTTTTTTTGAAACAAAAAGTCTAGAGGTTTTCTTCAGCTAAGAAACAGAAACTCTAAAATGAAGTCCAGACATTGATGTCTTGTACAGTAGAAACGGGCCCCTTCCCCAAATGCTGTTCAATAAAAACCAGTCAATTTATTGAATATCAATTTCATAAAGGAAAATGTTTATCTTCTAAAAATATTTTGATTTAAATTTTGCAATTACAAAACCTAAATTGGCAGTTCAAGTATCAATGCAAAAATTTGGTATCACTTGATTTCTAATTGATTGGTGGAAGAATAGAATTATTTTTCTCTTTTTTTTTCTGCAAGTACTGGATCAAATGAAGTGACAGCATATTGTTTATTTTAGAGCTTATCGAGTGTTCAGAAATTTGAAAAAACAGAGCATCAGGGATAGAGGAGAGGAATTGCAAATTCCAGTTCAGATGATAATGAACATTCCAGAACTAAAAGTAAGTCTGTTGCATTGAGAAATGAACGGATGAAACTGAATGTGTGAGAAACGTTTGACAATGATACAGTTTTTTGTTTCACTAGAAAAATTAATTTTATTCAAACCTCATTAAGACAGAATTCAGAAATATTAAATCTTCAGTAAGATAATTTTAATCTCAACTCTTCTTTGCTTCTAAACCTGTTCAGCCAATCTACAAGATAGTGTTTGTTTTGCCTGTACAGATTTATGAGCATCAGTAATTTGAGCAGATATTTTTAATCATTTCACTTCAAGCAAGGCAATAAAGCCATTGAGATGTAAGAGAATAATGAGAGGGAAGGAAACTGAAAAGACATTAGTGAGGAGAAAGGACAATAAAAGAACAAGATAGATGACGATTGATGTTACATTTAAATTTTTGTAGAATGTATTTGACAAGGAAGCAAGAAGCGAGTTCCACAGGCAAGAAGTGCAAGAGAAGGAACGATTAGAATAAAACTTAAATTTACATCTGGCAATTTCAACAGTAAAACAATGAGACCTAGCTGCCAACCTAGCACTAGACTTAAATTCATGAAGCTGAGTCCTAAAGATAAAATCTCATTAAAACAATTACCACAAAATTATTTATAGAAAAGGCATTTAGAAGCAATAGCATGGCACTGGGAAAGTGATTGAAGCTAAGATGCCAGATCATGGCTGATAACATTGCAGATTCTTTGGATTTTGTCAAGAATCTAAAGATGGACTATAAGTTAATAGCAGAGAAAATGGAATCAACAAGCAGAGATCAAATTCCAGCTGATGCAGTTTGTGTTTATTTTGTACTAATGCCCTTGGGAAAGGCAGTAATCCATCTTCCTCATCCCAAGCAAACTGGAGTCTCTAGCCTTGAAGGTGAACAATTCTGAAATCAAAACTCTGGAAAGAGACAACAGGGAAATCACTACATTTTCCAAGAACTGGAAATGCATAGTTTGGAGATAAAAAAGAAAAGGAAGCTGTTGAGAGACATGATCACTATTGCCCTGAAGAGAAAAAAAAGAAATTTGCTATCTTCCTTAGTTTCAGCTTTGATAGTCTGAAATTTTCTTTAATGGATCAGATTCTAATTTTTCCAGATTAATTAGGGCTAAAACATGACAGAATATGAAAATAAAAAAAATATTAATGAAGAATAGCTTAAAGCTTGTGCATTAAGTTGAAGATTTGGATAAAATTCTTCAGAGAAAAAAATCATATTAATATCTATATTAGGATGATTAGTGATTGCAGTAATTTGCCATAATTGCACCCTCACACTCTTTGAGATATATCTGCACTTTCCTAATCAAGAAGAAATCTCTTAAAATTTAAAAAGAAAAAGATTTGCTACTCATATTTAAATAATGTTCACAGGAAGAAGAAAAAACAGTTTTTCAACTGATAACCTGTGGACATATTTTTTGTGGATGAAGTGAAAACTTTTATACCTATCTATAAAAAAATATCTTTCAGAAATTAAGTAATTTTTTAAAAAAAATATCAATTAAAAACTTTCAAAAAATTGGTAAAAATGTTAATCATAAAACTGAGCAATTTTACATTTCATTTTGACATTTTTGCTTTTGATTGGCATTTTAAGTATTTTACATGACAAATGAAACGTCAACTTTGATTTAGATTGGACTTTTAAAAGAAATTTCTTAAAATTTTAACAGTTTATGGAAGCACCAGTGCCTCATAATTTAAATTTTTCACTAAAAAAATAAATAAGTGACCAAATTTAATGTTTTTCAAAAAATTTTGTTTAAAACGTTTCCTCATTGATTTTTGTTTATTTTCTTTGAATCAATTGTGAAATGATTGCCTCTTTGTATCTTTTTTTTTTCTGTTTTTAATGCAGGTGAATCCATTTCGTGATCGTCTCTGTTCTGTATTCTCAAACAATAGAGACTATATGAACTTTGAAGAATTTCTTGACATGATGTCTGTGCTCAGCAGCAATGCTCCCAAAGACTTGAAAGCCCATTATGCCTTCAATGTCTATGGTTTGTTTGATATTTCTCTCTCTATAAAACTCTCAGTCTCTCTTATTAGAAGTACTGATTTTGAGAAGTGGGTGAAGCTGAAAACATTTCAGTATCTCCTTGCGCGTGTGTGTGTATATTATTATATATATATATATATATATATATATATATATATATATATATATATATATATATATATATATATCAGAGCCTGAAATTAATGTCCTGACCTCCTTAAATTTTTATGGGCAGATGCCAAGATGATACAAAATTTTAAATTAAAATTCTATTATATTTATTATAAAAGCAAAAAAAAAAAAAAAAAATGATACTTCTCACCAATAATGGCAAGCATTTTAATAAATGCACAAAAATAAACCAAACTTAAGCATGTTTTTATAAACTTGTGAATGAAACCCAAATGAAAAGTTGAAGGACTTAAGTTTAGATATTTGTTTTATTTATCTCTAAATGGGAAAAACATTAGAATAAAATTTTAAGAACTAATTTTGGTTTGATTAACAAACAATATTTGTGTTTTCTACTAAATTAAAAATACAAGTGGGGTGAGGGGGATTTTTTTAAAATGCTGCACATAGAAAATTTAGTGATGATGCAAGGCAGGTAATTATAAATAAAACTCTTTTGATTGTTGGGATGCACTTATATTATTTATACAGGAATTGAGTACATATAGTATAATAAAATTTATTGAGCATGAAGATTAATCAATGAGCACATTTCTATATAAAATTGAGTTGATTTAACGGAAATGTTTAAATAAAAAAAGTTTTGTTTTTATAAAAACTACAGTAAAAAATTTTTTTTTGTATTCGTTTTTCAATCCTAAGATATTTTATGGCATTTTTTTTTATTAGGCTTCTAATAACTATAAACATTAAAGTTAAAAAAAAAAAAAATTTCAATTTTGGGATGGTTTAAAAATTTTCGGGAATGATATTTAAAAAAAAAATAAATAAATAAATGGAGTCTTGATTATAGAGATTGACACTTTGCATGTTCGTACAGCTGGAGCAGAAATTCATATCACTGCACAGGTAAACTTTTCAATCTTACTTGTCTTTAATCAAAGACAAAATTCTTTTATGTATTAACTCAAAGTATCCTTTATGCTGATGATTGTAACTGGGTCACATATTTTCGGATGGATATACAGTCATTGATGTGAATAGGCTTTCTGCAGCTTGTGAGCAATTTGGTTTGGCAACCAGTTCAATGAAAACTTATGTGGCAACCAGCAACAAATTGTATGTGTAGCCAAAAATTGAAAGTAATCCATTGAAAAATTTCCCTACCTTGTTAGCAAAAGTCATTTGATTTTTGTGTTTGGTCACAATAAATTATTTTAATTTAGCACTAAGTTAGCCATCATTATAATGCTTGTGTTATTTGTGTTCAATATTCATGTGAAATGTTTGGCTTCTAGCAACATTGTCTCTGAAAAATACAAATATCTATTGGTTATGTCAAACTTCTTCATAATAGATAGAAACAATTATATACAAACATGCCTGTAGTGGTCAGGGCTTCTGACAAGATTTGGAGGTGATTGTTTGCCTAAAAAATTCTATGGAGAAGTTAAGCAGTTTAGTGATTGCAATAAAAGCCCAGGAAACTTTCCAAGATTCCTTATCACTGACTGTCTCTGTTTGGTTGACATGAGAAAAGATAGGAGTTAAAGGCACAAAAAACACAGAGTAGAAAGACAGACTCTAGTTTTTGAGTTGATCTGAAGAATGCATCAGCCAAACTAACTCAATGGATTGGTGAAAGAATGTGGCCAATGCCTGCTAATCACAAACTGGGCTAAAAAGTCACCTTAAGAGACATCAGATTGAATATAAATGTTACTGTCAATAAGATTTCATTTACATGTTGGGTTATAAGTAATGCAAGAACAAGTTATCAGTTGTGAAAACATGGAATGTCCAAAATAATTTTAATAGTGTAACAGGGCTTTTAAAAACCTTTCCAGTTTTAACAGCAGCCCATAACAATCCAGCAGTCATCATGGCAATAAGGCATGTCTCTCTCTCTACTTTGTGGCAAAATACAACTGATTATTCTACCACGAGCATATCATGTGCGTGCATCACTGAAAACTTCTCAGTTTGGCCAAGAAGGAATTAGAGAGAGAAGAAAAAAAAAAACAACTTTTGAGGTTTGGGCAAATTGAAAACTTTTCATCAGAGCCTCTTAGAGAAGGTGCAAATTGATAATGTTACATAAACAGCTTGTGATGTGTGTGCAACTTTACTGATATTTATTTCTGTGAATTTTTGAGGGAATGACAATGTGAATCAAAATGAATCTTTTGCAGATTTCAATAATGATCAAAGACTCTGTGAGGAAGACCTGATGCAGTTGTTGGATCGTTTAACATGTGGACTACCAAATGACCCTTCTTGTTATATGGAGGGGAAATTGTCAGACAAGGAAAAAAAGAAAATTATCAAAGAAGTAAGTTAAACAATTTGGCAGCTTTATATACCCCATGGATATTGTAGGTTTTATGGACATGTCTTTGCATTTAGAAGTTTATACACTGCAGTTAGGCCTGCAACATACATTTTCCCCACTGGCATGAGGATCTGTTCAATCACAGGTAAAAACCAGTATTTGAAATACACATATTTTAGACAGGTTCTCCCCAATTATATTAATCTTTGTACTTTTCAGCCTGTCTGCCTGCAAGCAGGGCAACCAACTCATGTAAACATCTTTTGTTTTGTTTTGTTTTGTTTTTTAATGATGATAATTTTAACCAAGTCAAAATAGAAAACGTTCGGCCTGTCGTGCTTTTTGAATGCAGCTAGTTTTTCACTCGGTCACAAACGGGCTTATCACCTTTGCCAGTTAACCTGCCCAGAGTTTGCTAATTGTTCACCCAGAATTGAAAACTGGACTTACCAGCATATTGCTGAACATTGACAACTGTGCCTAACTGCCAGCTGACACTTCCCTGCCATCAATACTCAATATGGTGGCTGCTGCAGCAAACAAGTGCTTTGCAGTACAAGTCAACGCATCAGCACAAGACATTTCATAAAAAGCCAAAATTGAAAAAATATCAATGTGCCGAGTTTGTGACAGTCACTCTAGCTGAAGTATCCAACTAAACATAAGAGTGTGCTGTTGTTTGCAGTCACTTTTTTCCTTAGATGTTGCATCCTTATTTTCCAAATCTCTTGCCATCATATCGAGAAGCTAATTATAAGTCAAAATATTTTACAAAGGAATTTTTGAATTATAATGATGAAAGGTGTTAATAGATAGTTTAATTCAACATTAATTTCTGATATTTTTTCTGAGCATAAATAAAGGTTTTACTTTTGGGATGACTTGACAGATTAGTAAAGTGTTTAACTACTACAATACAAATCAAGACCTTATTTGACAGGAGACAATTGGAGTTGAGTAGATTTTGAAAATGGTTCAGAATCAGTCAATGTCATAAATTGGTTCAGATTTTATTAATAAATTAAGTGTTCAGTTTTCCTAAAACAAGTTTTGCTCATAGTTAACAGTATTTGGTTTGATTTTCTCTTTTCAGATTTTTGCTATTGCTGATTTGGACAGGGACCAAGAACTCAGTTTTTCTGAGTTTTGCCACATCATTGACAAATCTCCAGATTTTATAACGTATGTAAATGTTTCTTGTTTTTTTTTCCCCCTCCCTCACCATTTCAATTTTGAATCAGTTGCAAAAAGAATCTATTTATTGTCATTTGATCATATTTTCTTTGATGTGTGAAAGAAGCAAATCTAAAATACTTCATACATTTTAAAGTGAAAAATTATTTGCTAGCATCAATATTTTCTCAGCAATCTTTATAAAAAAAAAAATCCAGGAAATTTGTTGAAAGCAGCTAATCCTCCTGGCATGACATCCAACTTTCAATAAAGAAGAAAATTTTGAAGAACAAGCATTTTGTTTTGTTGTCTAAAGTTTGAGAATAAAACTTGTTTAATTATTTGTTTTTCCAGTCAAAATCATTTTTTATATAAATTCTTTTAAATTTTTTTTTCTAGGTCATTTATCATCCATCTGTAATTCATTGCTCCAGCTGAAAATTTTTTTTTTTATATATAAAAAGAAATAAAAATTTATATTGCTACTTTCTCTTGTTGCTGTTTATTGGCAAAAACATTCTCATGGTGAATGTATCTGATTCATCATTTCTTTTTTTAACCCTAGAACACTAAGCATCAATTAAAGTTTCACTACTAATAACCATGGGTATATCATATCCGATTTTGAAAATATCAAAAAATATTAAATCTTTATTTGAAATATTTTACATGCAGGCACTTCAAACTTTGTACTTTGAGTTAACATTAATTGGAACTGGAAAACATTATTTATGTAAGAAAATCAGGTACTGAAAATTGTAATTAAAAATAGGAAAATTTGTGCTGGGTACTATATACCCATGGTTAGTGTTGTAGGGTTAAATGGAGATTAAAATACAAGGCTCCTCTGTTACTGAACAGATATTAAAACTGTATTTGTCTTGATTAACTATTTACTTAGGAATATTATTTTTGTTTGCTTTTTAAACTCTAACTCCACTTTAAGTGATGGAGGAAGAAATAAGGTGGGTGAAGGAGATAATTTCAATATTTTTACACAAAGTTTAAATTGCATACTTAATTAGATCATGTTTAAGTAAGCAACAAAAGATAAGCTAGGATTAACATGGCAGAGAGAGAAAGGTATATAGATTTATCACAGGTGCATTAGTAGAGAATATCAAAAAAAAAAAAAAAAAAAAAAAATGAGGAAGGTGATTTAATTTAGATTTTGTGAAGAGAAAGCACTACTCTCCTTTTCAGCAACCCTTTTAAAAGTCAAAAGGAGTGCTGAAAAGATTATTTCTCATAATGTGGCCAATTTAATAAAAACTTATTGACCAAGGAAAAAATTAAAATAAACATCAAGTTTCTAAAGCAAAGAAAAATTATTGCTGCATTACATTTTTCTTTCTTTAAAAAGCTGGAGAGACACGGATGAGCATTGAAAAACATTTACCTGCAATACTTTTGAGAAAGCTTGACTGAAAATAAAAATCTTCACATAACAATTTTGATTGTAATGAAGATTTTGACTATCATCCTCTGGGAAGAGGATATTTTGTCAAGACAATACATCCATTGTATTTAGGAAATTGTCTAAGAGGAGAAATCTTCTCTAAAGATGATTTTATCTTGAAACTGTTTTAATCTAAAAATTTGAATACCGCCACCAAAGAAAGGAATGAAATAAAAACTGATTGAAGTAATAAGGGCAACAGTTGATATTTGTGGTAAATGGTATGAAGATTAGAATCTGAGAGATTGGGAAGAAAGGAGTATAGAGGACATGTTAAAAGGTACTTGGTTGCATTGTAACATCTTACAAATAAGTTAGGCCATTCAGTTGAGGGTAGAAAGTGAATTAAACTTCCCCTGGAGAACTGTAAATAGTGTTACACAAATTGAAAGCTGATTTACTGCAAAGGCAAAGAATAATAATATCAAAGAGTCAAACGGAAAAAATAAAGTCAAGACAAAAAAATATTTCCACATATGTAAGAACTAAGGTGAAAATTTACTTGCATTCAATGAGAAACAGATAAAGAATTAAAATACCCCCCGGCAAGAGGGGTGTATGTATGAATAAAGTGGGGAGAAGATCAGACAAAAAAAAATTTTTTATTTATTTATTTTTTTGTTGTTTTTTTTAGTCACTCATGTCCATGTCCATTTGTTGCAAATTGGTGTCAGAGGTCATCTGGTCACCCATACTGGAGGGGACGGCTGACTCCAGGTTATCTTCCATGGATCCCGAGCCAGGAGGAGTGACATCAGCAGGTGGAGCAGCTGCACCGTACACCTTTTCTGATTTGCCTTCCCCACTCACATAACCTTTCTCTTCTTCATCGTAATCTCGAGTGACCCGTGCATTTTCTGCTTTGTTACTAGAGCTTGATGAATTAGCAAAAGCCGAAGATGAGGCCACCCTTTCTTCCTTGTCTGCTCCACTCCGAGCTTCCTTGTGTTTCTTTTTACTTGACTTGCTTTCTTTATCCCGACTGCTCCGTTCCCGACTCCGTTCCCGTTGATCTTTCTTCTTCTTTGTTCTGAGGAAGAGAAAAAGAAAAAAAGCAACCATGTTAAAAAAAAATGAAGAAAAAAAAAAAAAAGAGTCTTTTTGTAAGTGGTAGAAGAAAGAAGTTTTAATTATTGAATGATGAGAATCAAATTCTACCAACAAACAGATTTTGTTTTTCTGTAAAATTAATATGAACAACAATTTAAGTGCGTGTGTGAGGGGCAAAATTTGCTGCAAAATGGCATGTGTTAAAAATGTTAAGAATTTTCTTTTTTTTTTTTTTTTTTTAATTGTAAGAGGTTTTAGTTGACCCTATTTATGACAAGGACAAGTTTTATTTGGAGCCACAGAAAATTAGGTAACCAATTGCTATAAATCAGTAAACAAATTCCTATCAGTATGGAGGTAGTTAATTAAACTCAACTGGCACTTTACAGATGTGATTACATACTGAATACATCAATGTACAGTAGAAAGAAAAACAGTCAAATTATTTTTCTCTTACCAAACAAAAATAATGTGTTTAAAATTAATTTTCTTTCTCATTCAACTATAAATTTAACAGAATATTTTTCTGGGTTACATTGCAGATTTAATTTTGTAGTAATGCATAAAATATGTTCAAAATGAATTTGATATCAAAAAGAAAGAATACTTGAAATTTTGAGGTAGAAAAGACTGCAAATTGTGTTGAATTAAAAAAAATAATCAAACCTTGAGGATTTGTGGCGTGAACCGCTGCGTGATCGAGACCTTCTTGCTCTCACAGGACTTGGACTTCGGCGTCTCCCACTTCGACCAACTCGTCCACGGCTGTTGGGAGAAAAAAAAGAAAAAGCACTAACTATAATCATTCATTCAAGTCTGTAGCATTATCAGAATTCATGAAGAATTTGTTTAGAATTGTTTTGTTTTTTTTTTTAAGATCCTACCATAAGATTGCTGATGTCTTTTTCAGTTAACAAAAATACCTAGAGAAGAGTTGGCAGAGTAGAGCGCCCTTTCCAATTGGTGAGGTGAGCCAATCAGCAGTCAACAGAGTTGCATACAGAAAATCAGTTGGATGGTTAGGGTCTGACTGTGTTTAATGAATATTGAAAATAAACTTGGAAAAAAAAAAAAAAACGATTAAGAAAGTTGATTAGTTGAAAAGGATATTAATGTATAAATACACTATTTACATTATTCGGATTATTGTCCTCATCTTTGTCGCCATATTTATTACAACGTTTCGGCCATTGTACGCTCTGACCTTCTTCAGGTGGTTGGAATGTCGAACTGAACCCTTTATTTTGCAAACTGGATAGATGGCACAGTGGATAAAGGCATTGGTTAGATCCAGTGACAGGACCCAAAGATTGTGAGTTCAATACCCGGTTAAGGCAGTGGAGAACTTGGAGAGGGGAATTAACAGAAGATAACTGACATCCATTAAACATGGCACGTGGAACTAGAACAGTCTACCCCAGTGAGCGAAATAAAGGGTACAGTTCGACATTCCTACCACCTGAAGAAGGCCGGAGCATACAACGACCGAAACGTTGTAATAAATATGGCGACAAAGATGAGGACAATAGTCCGAATAATGTAAATAGTGTACATAATACCTCATTTCAGAAATATAGACAAATACTAACACATAAATAATTTAGTATAACTGGGTACACTGTCATGTACGACAATGGATTAAATCTGGTGGATAGCCCATTTCTTAGCCAGGAAGTGCTCTTGAACTTCTAATTCATTATGCACAGGACCATCATTTATTTGGAGAATCCACTTGTCAGGTTAGAATTTGGGTCTTTTCCACAAAACAGATTCTCATAATCCTTTTAATGTGACACTGAGATCTCCGGAGGTTGGTCAAACAAAAAGAGAAAGAATAAAAGGAAGGAATAGGAGAGACTCTACTAACTAGACGATAATTGTTGAAATTGAAGGAAGATGAATTGAAAAGTTAAGAAAATTAAAAATGAAATGCGTAGAAAAATCATGTTTTCAGATAAATTCCAAGGTGAATGGAATCCAGATTTAACTAGACGAAATTCAGTAAGATTGAACAAACCCAAGACTGCCCGTCCCACCCACCTCACACTGATAAGAAAGAGACCATTAAGGTATCCATGAAGATGTTAGATAAAATAAAAACATGTTGCCAATAGAGAAATCTAAGTGGTCAGCAAAATAGCATTCACAATTCCCCTGGATCAGATAAAATAAAAACGTATGTTCTGAATCAACCACCCAGAAGAAAAGAACCCCCACACGTTCATCCTGACAAGTTTGGCAACATTTGTCTAGAGAACATTTTATATCCAAAGATTAATTCAGATTCCATTGGATACAAGTGGCAAGAAAAAAATTAATTACTATTTTGAAATGACCATGGACAAGAAAGCTGTGTGATCTATTTGATCTTAAAACAAATGCATAAGACAGAGAAAAGATAAATTTTCATTTTAAGGAGAGTGGAATAAGATTTTTCTTTCTCCAATTCTTGAGTAGTCTGGCTGATGGAGAGGATCCCAGCACAGGGCAAGTTGATAGATAAGAACTGTTGTCTTCACCATGCCATCTGGAAGTTGGAATTATCACTCCAGTCCTAGGAAGCTGGGCTAAGGTTGGCTGTTGAGAAAGACAAGGGAGAAGGAAGAAGAAAGACAAGGGAGAAGGAAGAAGAAAGACAAGGGAGAAGGAAGAAGAAAGACAAGGGAGAAGGAAGAAGAAAGACAAGGGAGAAGGAAGAAGAAAGACAAGGGAGAAGGAAGAAGAAAGACAAGGGAGAAGGAAGAAGAAAGACAAGGGAGAAGGAAGAAGAAAGACAAGGGAGAAGGAAGGAAAGAAAGGGAAAGAAGAAGGAAGAAAGGGAGAAGGAAAAGAAAGAAAAAGGGAGAAGGAAGAAGAAAAACAAGAGAGAGATAGATTAGCACCACTTATATAGAGTGATGGTATGAGGCAAAGTGTAAAGAGAGTAAGAGTTAAGGAGTGGCTTGATTCCTCTGACCACTCTCAAAAGGGAGCTGAACAACTTCAAATTTGGAAAACCACATGTATTTTTATAGATAGAAATTTAGGAAAGTTTGATACTTAGGGTAGAAGACAACCAAACCCAGACCCTAGTCAACTCCACCCCTGCTAGATGCAGGACTCCATACAAGCTGAATATTTTGGACTCAAAAGAGAGTTAAGAGGAGATTGCAGACACAACAAGAAGAGAGACAGAGAGGCACATACTGGAATCTGCATCATTCATTGAGGCCTCCTGACCAAAGACCTTGTGCCAGACATGAAAAGAACTTAGAAATTTAAGCTACTACTAGAACAAGCTGCAAACTCCAAAGGGGATCCCAGTGTCATTTGATTATAACAACAAGTGGGAAGGGTTAAGACCGCTGTATACAACAAATCAAATATAAACCAAAATTGGTTACATTTTTAACCAAAGTTAATCCTTTATTCCAAAGGATACTTGTTCTTTTGTATAGCTCCCAAATGGCTGAACTGTCTTCACTCTAAGTTTGCTTCATCAATGATCTTCTCACCATCTGAGATCACAAACATCACATGACAGAGAAGTGAATGGTCGTGAACAGACAAACACCAGGTAAGTCAAGCAGAACTGTGCCACCAACATGATACCAATGACAAAACAAGTCACACACTAACGAGTGAAGAGTCAGCTAAATAGTAACCACAACAGTTTGAAGAAACTTGAGGACCAATGACTGGGTGACATAATTGGTTACCACTGTCTGGGGCCAACGACAGGGGTACTTTTTTGGTTACCACTGATCTGGGTTGATGCATGGAGTTGTGCATATTAGCACTTTCAAACAAACATGTCAACTGATTTTATTCTTGTGCTAAGAACTCATTGTAATCAAAGAACTAACAAATGTTATTTTTTTTTCATCAAAGTTCTTTGTTTTTCAATGCATGCTCTAGTGTTTTGTTTTGGGAAAACACATTTCATCTCTAGTAAATTTTTTTTTTTTTTTTTTAATCATTTCACCCCAAGCAAGGCAATAAAGCCACTAGGACAAGGGTTTACTGAGTGTTAGAGAATATAAAAAAAAACTTCTATTAGGGAGAGAGGACAATAAAATAAAAATTAAGTAATGACTGTCAGACATCCCTGCATTATTGTAATGATCAAATGAAACATGAAGCCGACATTGTTTTTGCTCATCAGTCAAAATTCAAGGCAAGCATCTCCAAGGAAGTTTTTCTCATTCCCAAATCCTCTGTTAGTATCTGATGTACTGTTTCTTAAATTCATATTCCATTTTTGTTCTGTTATCAGTTACACACTTAACCTTTGATCTGAGCACACCAAGGTTCACACACTGTCCACATTGGCATCCCAATCCTCACATCATGCACAGCTTCCTGCCCTTCATTGAACATATTGTGACACCAAAAAACACTTTAATTCTTTAAGGCTCACCATAAGCAAACTTTTTTTTTATAGACCTTATGTTTCATCAACACTTTTACTAATTTTCACAAAAAACCCTGATATTAATCCACTACCAGCAGATTTCTTTCACTCATTTTCTACCAACAGTTATAACATGAACACATAAAACTTCTACTGCATGGTAACAAATGACACATCTGGTGTGCATCTCAAGAAAGCAGAAATTCATATCCAGATGTGCAAGATGATAAAAGTAATCTTCTAATTCGTTAACCCAGTAGCACACTGTGGTCATTGCAGGAATTAAATTGTCCCACCGCACACATATGCAGGTGAGAGGAATACTGAAAATCCCTTGATCTGACTCACTTCCCAAATCTGATCAAGTATTAGATATTTTCTTTTTTAAAATAGATTCTTGATTGGGCTGAGAACATTTCAGCATATCCCTCATAAGTTGAATGTAACTTAGTAGCAACTTATATTTATTAAATACCAAATCTGGAAAAACAGTGAGGAATCATCACTTCCAATCATTTGGCTTACCTATGTGATCTGCGTGTTTTTTTGCTTGGACTTCTACTACGACTCCTTTTTTCATGTGAACTGAAAGAAATCATTAAACAATTAAAAAGAAAAATCAGCAAATACATTTGATTTTCCTTTTGAACTGAATAGAGTTTCGTCTAATTTAAACAATTCAAAGTTCCAGAAATATTTGTGAATCAAAACTGAATTTGCAGTTTCATCAATTTTTTTTTATTTTTCAATTTTGAAATTGACGAAATGTAAAAGCAATCAAATATTCAGATTTAAAAAAAATGTACATCTAATTAGAAAATATTTTTTTCAGTTATACAAATATACAGCAGCTACATTTTTCACCATTTTGACTGATCACGCATTTAATGAAATTCTGTCGAGTAGAGTTTTTTTTGTCAAGCATCACACATTAAAAGGAAACTTTTCAGGAAGATTTCCAAACTGTTTTTAAGATAGACAAATATCAATGTCTTCTTCCATGAAGTGAGATTTGGATCAATAAGATAGGACTACAATTTAATTTCACTACCTCCCCAACAAAAAAAATATAAATAACCAGACACTTTTGAAAAATTAATCCAACTCGTATCTTTTCCCTTTGATCAAAAGTAGCATTTATATTTTGTGAAAATGCTAAAGAGTGAATCCATTAGACAACTACAAACAAGAGGAAAATGCATACAAGTGGCAAGCACAAAGTTCACGTATCAAAGGTTAAATAATTAAAAAAAAAAAAAAAAAAAAAAAAAAGAAGCTTTTTTGTCCTTTTTACTTGAAGAGGGAAAGAAATAAAAAAAAACACAATGTATATAATTTATTTTGGGGATTTGTTGCATTCTACATCAGAATTCGGTGTCAGTTCTGCATAGACATTGGCCAAAGATGAAGCGAGAAAAGACATTGTTTTTGACCAATGAAAATACAGGATTTAGCATTTGATTTCAAGTTCAGATGTTAAGAAAATTACTAATGGAAGGAAAATTGTGAAAGAAATGGAACTATTTACCTCGATTTACGATCAGGAGAAGAATCTTTGTCTTCATCTTTCAGGGGAAGAGAACATTCTCGTGTCAGTTTGGGTGGAGATGGGGTGCCATACTTCTTTTTCACTGGAGACTTTTGTCGACTACGGCTGCGAGACCTTCGCTTTGTACTTCTGTTAGTAATGAAAGCAGAAAGCAAAATCAAGTGTCAAGTGAGTGACCATTTGACTAATTGCACCTTCAAAAGAAAATTGGTGGGGGATGTGGATGGAGGTACCAGGTCAAACCCTTCTAAATATTCAGTGTATAACGTTGGTGGTTCAAATTTGGCCATTAGTTTTGAAATAATGAGAAAAGCATTGTCACGAGAAAATCATTTAAATCACTTGCCTCCAAATTAAAAATGGCTGAGAAGAAGAGACATGACTACTAGTTGGAGTGCTGTAATTTCTGCCTCTGTACTTAAAATGGTGCATAAAACAAGATTGACTGATTTTTTTTTTATGGTTCATCAACCCTTTGTGTGTTATTTAAAGCCAAAACATTTTTTAGATTGGAAGAATAATTCCTTTTCTTTTTTTGCAAGTGAATATTTCATTAACAGTTTTTTTTTTAGAATAACAATGATTTTTCCAGATACAAGTCCTACTATTTAACTCATAGCTGGAGGAGCTGATGGATATAGTTCCCAAGGGTATTTGCGTGTAAGTCAATGTAATAAACCCAGCTGGGATTCGATCTCAGCTCTCCGATCTCTCCTCCAAAGCAGGTCAACTAATTTCATCTTAATTTTGCTTGCTTTTTATTGCAACAACACATACTGTCAGTCTACAAGCATTAGTTAATAGCATAAATTCAAAATAAAAAAAAAAAGCCTCTAGTGAGACTTGAATTAATTTCTAAAAGACAAAGGGATATAAACAAGTCACACCAGAGGTTTATTCTTTTTTCCAATCTAAATTATTACTGGCCATTGATGAAAAAGCCATCTACTTGTCATGCTAGATTTGATGGACACTGGCTGGTGAAGACCAGAGGTAAAACTAACCAACTTATTTATCAACTAGTAAGGACACATGAAAGACAAAAATAAATCTAGAAAAGGTTGAGAGGATTCAAGTCTCCCTCACTAGAATTTACCTTAAAGAGGAGAAAAGAACCCTATTTGTAAAAGATTGGTTGTCACAGTGTGACACTAGTAAATGAAAAAAGCTAAATTGGAATATGAGCTAGGAACAGAACAAAAAAAGGGTTAAATTAAAATGTGAACATGGAAGAAAAAGAAAAAGGTTAAGTTAAAATGTAACTTAAAACACAGAAGACTGGATAGATTGTGCTGAGAAAAAGACAGCCATTTGGAAAATGTAAACCTACAGGGATTGGAAGGAGAAATAAAGAAAATACACTCAAAGACAATTGAGGATTTGGGAAATGAAGCAGAAAAGGAAAAATTAATTAATGACCATCTACTAAAAGTGCTAATTACGGTAACACCAATTGAGAGATAAAATTTGGTAATTTTAAGGTGAAGGCAAATGGAGAAAAACTGATTGATGATTGCTGTCAAAAAAAAAAAAAAAAAAAAAAAAAAAAAAAATCAGAAGACTGTAAAAACAAAACCCAGCGAAAGGATTTTATACTTTGCCTAAAAGAAATTAAGATATGAAGACTACGGTAAAAGGGAAGCATCTAGTTAGATTTTGATTATAAAGACAAAACCCCAAACTGGGGAAAATGTGCTGACAATAACCAAAGTAATAAATACGATTAATGACCAAAAGATAAGACCAACCTGTTCACCCACAGAATTTGAAAATCAATTTTGTCAAGATGACAACTGAGGGGAGAGACTTAGGTGAAATATCAAGAGAGACAGGGGAATTGCCTCTGCATAAATGCAGGTAATGATATGAGGCACAAATAAGAGAAAGAAAGAATTGGTGTGTGTGGAGGGGGGTCAGTGGCTGCAACCACTGCACATAGAAAAGGCATCTCCCAAATCTGGAAAGATAATTAATTTTCAAAAAACAGACAACAAAAACTCTTGTTGGATAGCCAGGAATCCCCAAACATTGTCAGCCCCCAAGCTGATCTTAATTTGCTGACAAAGAGACCTCCCAACTTGTTCCAGACTTAGCTAAAATGAGTAAAGTGTCATGATAGAATTCAAAGTAGAGAGGGTTAATATTTCAGTACAAGGAACGATATAAACTACATAGAAAATTGACCCAAAGAATTTCCTGAAAAGAACATTGTTTAACTCCCCCCCACATACACGCACACTTGTCACACAGCTTCACTGAGGTTTGAACTAGCATTACACTTGCTGACAACTCGGTCTTTGCCAGCCCTGTGATCAAAAAGCACGTGGCCAGTGTGTCGCACAGACTGGGACGGTCACTTCAATGACCAGTGGCAGTATTGACCAGTGTAGGAATTGATCAAGGACCAACCAGCAAGAAGTGTCATAATTGGTTGCTGTAGACCAGGATTGACCCAGGAGTGTCATAATTGATGTCCTTGACCAGAGGATTCATGCCTGGGTTGACTACAACCAACCCAAGAACAACAGACAACCAAGCTGAAAGAGAAAGAAAGAAAAAAATGAAAAAGGAGTGAAAAGAACCAACAGACTTTAGTCATTTTCACCATAGAGTTCTGTAAACACACTCCACAAAATTTTTTGTTAAACTTGCAGCAACCATAAGTCATACACGCAGCAACTACAGGACAAGCGACAGGTAGGACACTTTTTGGTTTCCCTAAAATTTCTTGATTTTTGTTGATTGTACCTTGTCAATAGAAAAAAGATTTTTTTCTTATTGTAATATTTGAAAAATTGTCGGATTGTCTCTCTTTTCCCTTGTCAGCAAAGATGAGTGACCATGGGTCAGATATAGAGGGCGAGAAAAACAGAGAAACACAGGCACAGAGTCAGAAGGTAGGCAGGCAAGGTAGGGGAAGGAAATCCCCCACATGGAGTAGGGGCATAGAATGAGTGAAGGACCAACTGGAAGATAGGGAAAAGGAAGAGGTCCTCAATAGAAGAGTTTGGTCATTAGTACACCTGGTAGATATGGGTTAGTCTGCTGGAACTGTAATTAAAGAGGTCATAGAGCAGTAGATTGTCCAACAAAATGGATTTAAACCCAAATTTTGACAATCCAAGATGGACTAAGACAAAAGGATGTTAGAGCTCCAAAAAAGAAGATCCACCCCTAGGATACAGGGCCAGGGAAATGTCCAGGGGGGCCACCCCAGTACAGAAACTAAGAGGGAGGGTAGCCTATGTAACAATAGAGAGACCGTAAAGCAGAGGACCCAAGTGATGAAGTTCAGGGTCCTGGCTCAAAACCTCCAGAAGATAGAGGGGAGCTGAGTGATTTGGAAAAAAAGGATAAAATACCAGACCCCCAACTCAAAAAAAAAAAGTTAAGTGATATGAAATATGACGAGCAGAGGAAGAAAGGGCAGAGTGAAGTAGAAGTAAGGGGAGAAGGAATAATAACCCCTGTGAAGAATTGCAGCCCCCACAGCAACTACTAGAGGTAGTGAGAGAGAGTGGGAAAGACAGGCTTTAATTGAAAGCGAGCTATTGCCTGCTGATGAGAAACGAAGAGACAAGCTAGATAAGCGAAGCCGATACTGCAAAGTATGAAAAAAAAAAAAAAAAAAAAGAAAAGAAAAAAAAGAAAGGTTTTATTGTCAATGTCTTTGTTGAGAGCAACGACCAAAATTATTATTTTTTATTGGGGGGGGGATTAAACTGAAATCAAATTTTGGAAGCCGCCTAACATTTATGAAATTTTTAAAAACACAACGTCTTGGAGAAATTTTACTTGAAGTAATTTGTAGTTTTGAATCTTTTAAAATTCTGTGTTGAATTGTATTGGTTGGATGGTGTAGCTAAGTAAAAACTATATTTGCTAATCATAAATGGAAAGGCTTGGTGCAGTTCACCTGACACTGGTATTTGAGGCAAATTTTGAAATTTATTTTCATTTGGAAAGGAAGCAGAATGATAGCAAATTTAAGGCCAGAGTACCCAGGTCAAGGGATGGCTGGAATAAAGAAATCATTTATACTCATAGGTGAAATAAAGATAAACTAACCAAAAAAAAAATTTAAAAAAAAAAAAAATTTATACTCAGTTATTTGGATATTTTTGGGGGGGAATTTATGAGTGTTATATATCAACTGTATCTTTTCTGTTAGTTGATTGTTTGATAGATCTGAACTCAATGTCGCTGGTAAAATTGATTTTGGTTGTGGACCACTCCATTGATGGATGAAGGCTGAGCCTCAACAGGGAAATTTGGACTGACAATTTAGTCATTGCTCATAGGATGGAGAGATGATGTAATGCTAGCCTGTAAAGTCACCATGATGTGAGGTGTTTCTTTTTGTGACACAAGAAAGGAAATGTTGGTGATTGCCACCAGAAGATCAATTCAGTGGGACATGGAAATATTGGTTTTGATACTGTGGATTTAACGCGAGGTATATTTTGGTAATAATGGCTTATTACTAGTTAAGTGGATTGTCTGGATCTGGTGAATGAGCCATGAAATTTAAAGTGACAGAGGGTCACAGAGACTATTTACAGAGCATATTGGAGGGAAGATTGTCGAGGATCACATTGATAGTTAACGATGCTAACTGAAATAAAGGGAAATGTAAGAAGGATGGGATGGATGGAGTCGGCATATGATGGGGTCGGGTCCATTATAATAAACTATCCAGTAAAATAACAGTAGAATTTGTTTGGAGAGGACGGAAACGTGGATAGTATGTCATGAAGGGCAGACAAACTTACTTATTGGTGCTGACGCTGGTCTGCACAAGGGCCTGTGTATGTCTGGCAGTGGTATTGGTGAGACACGACCTCTGGGCAAAAGCGCCACACACCTGTCTGGAACCAATCAACCTGCTGAAAGTTGATTAGCATAGGGAAAGGTTGAAATTGGAAAGCTAAGAGGAGGAAATAGCAGGAATGCCTTAAATAAATATGAAAGTGTGCAAGCGCTGAATGGTCAGCAAAATAAAGCAAGGAAATCTTGGTGCACTTACAGGAATGGCTGGCAGGAAGGGACTGATATCACTAATAATGATAATGGTAGCAGCTTGGATGCAGTCAGAACACAATCTTACAAGAAATCAAGTGAACTGATAATAACAAGATCAAAATGGTTAGACATTTTTTCAATAGATTTGAACCTATATGAGTTATTATTAAACAAATTGGAAGGTGAGCTAATTAAGGTGAGTATGGTTAGAGGGAAGGAACTGAACCACAGAATACAAAGAGAAGGATTCAATTGTGAGGTTGATCGAAACAGGTCTGAGCAATGGGACATAATTATGAGAACCAGTGGTAGAGAAATTCCCTGAAGTTACCTTGAAGAAGATGCCAAAGTTATTGAAACCAGTAGAGAAAATTAGTTTTGATCAATTAAAAGACAAATTCAGAGACTGTAATAAACTGGTCAGCATTGGTAGGTGCCCTGATAGTTATTGCTGCCATAGTAACAGCAATATGGAAATTGAAAAAGCATAGGAAGAAATCAATTAATAAGGTTTTGGCGAGTTTGTGTCAACTCCAGAAGGGAATACCATGTAGTATTCTTTACCCAAGCAGATTGAACCCAGACAAAGAAGAGACCAAATTGAATTCAGCAGAAGAACTGAAAGCAGAATCGATACCAATAAAGGAAAAACCAGGCCTCCTTTTGTGGAGAAAAATTGATGAGAAAGTATAAACCATAAAACAAAACAAAAAAAAAGGTGTCAATTGAAACGAAAGAGTAGGGAAAGCTGAGTGTCCCAGAGTAAAGTTGAATAAATTCTAAGGGGTGGGGCAAACCCCATGATTGGAATATAAACGCTGGTGGTGGTGGGGGGTGGGGTGAATGTCATATACAAGTAAATGACAGGAAGGGTAAGGGAGAAATGTAACAGTGTGACACTGATAAATGAAAAAAGGCTAAGTTGGAACATGAGCTTGAAACAGAAAGAAAAAAAGGTTAAGTTAAAATGTAACTTAAAACACAGAAGACAAGCAAAGGCTGGATAGATTGTGTTGAGAAAAAGACAGCCATCTGGAAAATGTAAACCCATGGTGATTGGAGGGAGAAATAAAGAAAATACACTCAAAGACAATTGAGAATTTTGGAAACAAAGCAGAAAGGGAAAAATTAATTAATGACCATCTAAAATTGCCAGTTACAGTAACACCAATTGAGTGATAAAATTTGGTAATTTTAAGGCAAATGGAGAAAAACTGACTGATGATTGCTATAAAAAAAAAATCAGAAGACTGTAAAAACAAACCCAGAGAAAAGAATTTTAAACTTTGCCTAAAAGAAATTAAGATATGAAGATTATGGTAAAAGGGAAGCATCTAGTTAGATTTTGATTATAAAGACAAAACCCCAAACTTGCATATCTCTAGTCACAAGATGAGAAGTTTTTGTTTCTATCAAGTTACATGAATCTCCTGATTAATGGGCATTTGATTGATGTGTTTTCAATTAGTGCACTAAATTTTTTTATACCAAAATTTGATTAGTGCATGCATAATACTTGATTAGTGCAGTAAAATATTCTTTTGCTTAAACATAGGTACCTCCACGAGATCGCTAAAAAAAGAGCATAGCATGATGAAAAAGACGCCAAACTTGACGAAAACAAAATTTTATCGTCTAAATGTTTGTTATTCATTAAGAGGAAAGGTCAAAGTATTTTGGGGTATTTTTTTTCCATTTTTAATCGTTCCTAGCACGTCCGAAATTTTCGTTAAAAATCTAGTTTTTTTTGAGTCAGCAAAATTGACCATTTTTTTCCATTTAAAAAAAACTGGAAATCTGACTTTGAAATTTTTTAAATATCAATTATCATTTTTTCAAAACTTATTTTAAAAAAAATCAGAAATTATAATGTTTATTTAAAATATTTTGAACCAAACTTAACTTAGCTTTTGTGCCAAAAAAGATGTAATTTGAAAATAAAACAAAGCAGGTCATAAACTTTGGCGTCTCTTGACATGTGATGAATGATATATTTACTGAATTCCATGAGGCTAATTTGTTCTCTGAAGGAGAAAAGTGAAATAATTTACATTTACATGAACAAATTATTTACCCGTTATTTTTAACGAAAACTTTCAGCGGTCTAATTTTTTTTTTTTTTTTTTACTTAGCTTTCACCTTTACGTTTATGATGCTTTATGGGAAATATATTGTAAAGAAAATTAAAATAAAACTGTTAAGAGTGACATTAAATTTCATATTTCTTAAGAAAGGTATCTAATTAATTTATAGGTACCTTTCTTATGAAATTTTATCAGAATTGTACATGAAATACTATAATTTTATGTACATTTATTACATTCTACTGTTATTTGTATTTGCATTCATTTTATTATTAATTTTGATATTTCATTTATGGAAAAATGTCGTAACTGAGATTAATATAAAAAATAAGATCATATAAATTTCATAAGATGATACTGATACTTGTAGGTAACCTTCTCAGTTGAAATTGAAAAATCAAATTAACTTCTCCACACGTGTTTACAAAAAGTAAAAGGCCTTAACAGCGGAGAACAATGCTTAACTCAAATAACGCCCAACTTAATTATATTCTGGTTGGTCTTCCGTATTTTATAATTACAGCTCGATTATAAGCACAAAATTACATTTCTTAATTACTGGGGATCTTCTGATTAGTCAAAATGATACAATTTACAACGCTAAAAAAAAGATCTATCTCATAAGGACACTTATGAAAGCCTGTCTTGACTTTTAACTAATTTTATAATATTTTAACAACTTAAATGTAAAATCTATTATAATTAATGAAATAACAAATAATTGTATTAAAAATTCATTTTTCATCGTAAAAATTTTTTTGCTTTCAGAAAATATTGTCCATATTCATAAAACCAACTAAAAGCAAATAAAAGCATTTGAAATTAAATAATATATTTGTTTTATTGAGTTTTGTATGTTTACAATTCAGAGCTGATTTTCAGGTACTGGGTTTCCAATTAAAACAAAAAAAACATGATTTGCATTCCTCAAAGCCCTGTGCTTTTAATTATTGTAATCACTAAAACCGATGCGATCAATTTCTAGCGTTTTCATAAAATTAGTTAGGGGGGTAATAAATATTTTAAAAAATATTTCTACCATGACTTTCATAAAAAAAAACATATTTATAATAATTTCGATCATCTGTGAATAGTTCCTGAAAGTTTCATTAACATCCGATCATTATTTCTATTTTTGAACGATTTTTCAAATTAATGTGTGTCATACCAAAAAAACGTGCTAAAAATTGTCTATGTTATTTACTAGTTCCGCTGATACAAATAGAAACAAGGTTTTTTTAATCAAAATTTAGAATTTTCTAAAAAGAAGGAAAATTTTTTAAAAATAATTAAAAAAAACTTTGGTCTTTCCTCTAAATAATAACAAGCATTTAGACAATAAAATTTTGTTTTCGGCAAAAAAGAGCATAGCTTGATGAAAAAGACGCCAACCGTCTTTTTCATCAAGCTATGCTCTTTTTTTAGCGATTTCGTGGAGGTACCTACTTAAACACAGTAATTGAAAATTGATTTTTTTTTATAGTTACTGATTAATTAAAAATTTTCTAAAATTTAAAAATGGAATATTTGGGTAACTATTTTGTTTGTCAAGTATTACAATATATTAGTAATTACAGTAGTATTTAAAAATGGATGGTTATAAATAAATTTTATAAGCCAATAATAAAAATACATATTTGAATATTTGTCTATTAAAATTTTGGGAATATTTTGATTTTTTTCATGTTTTTTTAAAAGGTCTTAAAAGAAAATTTCTATTTTTTTGTCAAAAAAAAAAAAAAAAAAAAAAAAAAAAAAAAATGCACAATTTAATTAGATACAGAAGTTTACATTTATTAAAAAGTATGGAAATATAAAAGATGTATGCATTTACTATGGAAAGATTATAAATAAAATTTTCAGGTTAAAATACTAATGTTTATGATATGTTTGGAAACTTTCCAAAAATAGAAAATATACACATGGTTCTTTCTTAAAAAATTAAATTGAATTTTATTTTAGATTTTAATATTTACCTACATGCCAACAGAAGAGGATGGCAAAAAAGGAATTAGAAGAATTTTTCAAGCTCGTTGAAGAATTTTAAGGAAAATGTTTACAAGGAGACCCTGATGAAGACAGAAACTGACAAATTTACAAAAAAACTGAAGGGACAATTTCTCAGTACTGTCGTTTATATGAAAAACAGAAGAATACCATGCAGCAAACCACTCTAAATAATTTTTCATAAAAGAATCAAATTAATAAACTTTAATTCATAGCATTTTTATTGTATCTTCTTATATGTACCTACATTTTAATTAAAAAGTATGCAAATTAGATGTGATGATATCAACCAACAAATTCCAACTGCATACATAAAACAAATTCATGCACACTTGTAACAATGTCATATACATTTAGTTCCCTTCACTCACTTAAAAACTGTCATGCATGGAAGAGAAGATAGAACAACAACCCTCCACCAAAAAAAAAATAGATGAAAAGCAGTCAATGTCACTAAGAGAGACAGACAAAATGAACCTGGAACAACAAGGTCCAACATAAGAAATGTATAGACATTATTTGTCCATTGGCTTAAGAATGATGGGTTTTATTTCTTGTTACATTTCTGAGGATGAAGACAAATTTGACTTTATGAAATCGAAGCCATGCAAGAAAAAAAAAAAAAAATGAAGACTTGTATCTAGATTAAGAACATAATTTCTATGTCACTGAATTTTGGTCATCAAGAGAAAATTCTTACCTTGGTGGGGTTCTTGATCTTCTGGAACTGTAAGCTTTTGGAGGGGTGCGTCTGAAACATTTAACAAACTCAATTACAACAGGAAAAATTATCATTTTAAATCACAACTTTAACAGGTAAGCCATTTACATCATCTCAAAAATTTCATGTGAATCTCATCTTCTATATGAATAAAGGCAAAATTGGAGGTCAATTCTCCCACAAATTCTGAGGTTAAAAGGTCCCAACTCTACTTTATAGTAATTTATGCACTAAAAGCTCAATATCTGACTTATATATTATCTACTTCTAGGTGATATCACATTTCAGGTTTAACTAATTTGCATATTGATTTTAAAAAATGATATTTCATTAACTGTCCTTTGTTACTGTTATTTTATTTGAGGATTGTTTTGATTTTCATATCAAAAATAGTTCTGTTTAGGAATATTGTCTTATAAAGTGCAGCAAAATGTTTAAAATTTGCATTTTACTCGGCCTTCAACAAGTTGGCGGCATCTATAATTTGTAAAACTTTCCTTAACTATAAAAAGCCTGCCCCCACATTCGACCAATTAATTTCTTCTGTCTTTACAGTCATATTCTTTGAACAAATATATTGAACGTCCACAACCCCTTCAAAATTTCATAAATACCAAATATTAATCCCCTAGAAAAATTACCAGATAGTGAGCAGGTGAAGCCTACTAGTTTAATATGAAACACACAAATGAGAAATGGATGCACAATTATTTTCTTTATGGGATTTTACAAATGGAAGTCAATACAAATATAAGTGGTAAATACAGCCAGAGTTAGGAGAAGACCAATAATTTGTAATATACACTTTATTTGCTGCATAGGTGTAGATAATTCAACAATTCAGATCTGTAAAAAAAGAAAAACGGTTAAAAGGGAATTTTTTTTTTACTTCTTGATACTGCTATTTGTGTATACTCCCTCCACAATGTTTATTATTGTAAAAAGCTATTTATAGTTTTAATAACAACAAAAATGTTACACACTATTTAATTGTTACATTGTTTATTTAAATTTTCTTGTTCACAGAATGAATAAAAAAAATTTTGTTTTCATATTTCTTCATAAAATGGTAAAGAATAAATATTGCATTTTAGTCGATTCACATTTATAATCCTGTAAATATAAAATTTATCTTGTAAATAAATGATGTAAATAGTGTGCAAAATTTTTGCTGATATTAAAATTGTAAACATAGATTTTTAAAATAATAAACATTGCCAACTGAATTAAGGGACTATACATTAATAATTGAGTCAAGAGGAAAAAAATTGTTCCAAAAGTTAACCCTTTGAACCCTGCGTTCCTGAACAATTTTAATCCTTCTGCCTGAGCTCCTTAGTCAAAATTCACAAATAATTAGTATGTAATGTTTCACAGTTGATATAAAAATAGTTACAAGTGTTTACCCACCATTCAACCAGTGACTGGGTATTAAGTAATTTTTCTCTACCACTGGTAAAGTGGTGGTCAGGGCTCAAAGGGTTAAAAATTACTGGAAATTTATTTTTCATTTAAATAAACAAGTAAAAACACATGCACAGACAAGACTACAGTTTTATGCAAATAAAAATTTGCTTTGAATAAATAAGTTTTAAGCCAATTTTCACTGTCACATTGTTTTTGAATTTTCCAACAAAATTTCCCTTATTGTACTTAACATTTTCAGCTGACACGAAGTGGAAAGATTATATCAAATCAATTATTAGGTCAACTGTTAGGAAAGTTCGTTCACTGTGCTGTGTTAGACAATTCTTCTTGGCCAAAATCTATCTTACACATTTATAAGTCTACTATTCGTCTATACATTGAATATTGCTGCAACATCTGATCTGGTGGTTTTGTTATGTCTTTAGGTATTGTGCCTCCCAGGTTAACATTTTCCATTGACATGAAGTGGAAAGATTATATTGAATCAACTGCTAGGTCAGCTGTTAGGAAGGTTGGTTCACTGTGTCATGCTAGATAATTTTTTCTTGACAAAATCTATCTTACACATTTATAAGTCCACCATTTATCCTTGCTTTAAATATTTGACCTGACCTGGCACCTCAGCTTCAACCACTTCCCCATCACCATAACATATCTTCACTGTGCTTTTTCTATAAATAATTTAATAGTAATTGCTCGGATGAACTTTCCTCTTTGATATCTAGACTTTATGAGTTTAAGTGTAATACTAGATTGGCAGCAAGGTCTCATCATTTTACAATGGAAATACCTAAATGTAATTGTAAGTTCTATACTAACAGTTTCTTTTCTTGCTCTTCTCCCATGTAGAACTCTCTTTCGGCTTCTTGCTTCCCAGTCAACTTTGAGGTTCAAAAATGTAAATGTAATGTCAATTGTTATCTTTTTTCTGTCTTAATTCATGATCTTTTATTGTCCTCTCTCCATAATAGTATTTTGTTTTTTTGATTTTTACTCATCCTTTCACAGTCAGTAACACCTTGCATGTTAGTGACATTGTCTTGGTTGGGGTGGAATGTTTAAAAAAAAAAAAAAAAAAAAAAGTTTTTTCAAAATTCTTTATCCTTTCTATTCAAATGACTTTAGCAACAAAAATGATAGCCCATCACTTACTTTGATCTAGAGCGTGATCTTTTGCGATGTGGACTTCTGGATTTCCTCCCACGGGATCGAGATCTGTGTCGAGACCGAGACCGATGTCGTGACCTGCACAGAAAAAAGAACATCATTTAGCAACAAAGCCAACGACAGAAAAACATAAGACTAATGTATAGCTCAATAATCCAAACAAGAGGAAATCATATAAATATGTTAGAAAGCAATGTATGTGTGTGCATGTGTGAGACTAAGTAAATGCTGTGTGTATAGAATAACAAATATACACACACACTGCCCAGAGAAATCATTGCAGAAAACACTGACGGTCTACAAATGACCAATCAAGTATAAGCAAAAATTACAATAACAAAATCTTATTTTATAAAATTCATTTTCACAAGAAACTGAAAATATTCACATGCAGAGCACAGACACAGAAAAAAAAATAATAATAATTGAAATAGATTTGCACCGATGCTCTCAACATTACCCTGTGGTTAGGATTGAACAGTTATTAAAGTAATTAATGTTTTTTTTTTTTTATTTATAAAAGCAACACAGAAAATATTATGGTTGAGATTATTTAGAGGATATTTTCTCTTTTGTTTTTTTAATAGATTCCAATAAATGATGACTTTTAATTAAGAAAAATCATCAATGTTAATAATTGATTTCACAAAGAAATTAATCATCACATTGCAAAAATGGCTTGAGAACACTTGAAGAACACTATCGGAAGAAGCCCAGTTGTGAGAGAAATAATGAATGGAAAAATTATTGAGGGGTTTGTTAGAAAAAATACATTTTAGGAAACTTTTGCAGATGACACTTGAAATATTTTTTTTTTCCTTCACTAATATAACAATGAATTATTTCAATGAAAATAGATTTTGTATATTTTTTTAATGATATTTAAAAAAAAAAAAAAAAAATGATAATCAACATTGAAGAAAAGTTGAAAAATAACAACATGAATCATCAAGTTGCAAAGGAAAAAAGGAATTAGGCTCGTGAATGGATTAGAAGCAGTTTTAATTTGTATATATATATATATTGGTTCCAGAAGAAAGAAATAGATAATAAATGGCAATATTTCACAGAAACTACTTGTTTTTGATAATATTTCCAATCTCCAGTACATAAAAATTCTCTGGGCAGTTGACCAATGCCTTCATTGATGACAATATTTTAAGAATTTAATGTAAATGTGTGGATGTCACTAGCAATTGGTCAAGACAGACTTTGGCTCTTTGGCCAGACTGGAGTCAGCCATGTCTGGAGTCAACAGAAATGTTGATGACAATACTTTTAAGGAAATCATATTGAATGCATAAAAGAGAAAAAGAGAAAAGCCACCAGAGATGTCCAAATAAAATATCACACATACCGTTCTTCATTATGGACTTTCATTTTGGGCTTGGCCTCAACAGGTGACCTGGGAAATAACAAATGCTTTTACCAAATACATCGGCACACAACAAATTAACTGACACACAGCAAGAGGTGACTGACAAATGTGCTTTTGAGCAAGCATCACTTGTCACAATCACACACACACATATATATATATATATATATACAAACACATATACACCCGTGCACACAGCCATTCTAAGGGTTAGAAGGCCACAATTACAATTTTCAGGATCAAATCAAATGTGTCAATTTTGTAAGGTGATAATGGTGATGGCTTCATAAAAGCCAGGAATTGCAGCAAAAGGTGAACTTCATTTGACAGCCTTACCTGGATCGGCTTCTGTGGCGCCGAGACCTAGAATGTGACCTTGATCGACGAGGCGATCTCTTCCTTGATCTGGATCTTCGACCCCTTGAAGCTGATCTTCTTCTTGAATGAGACCGTGAACGTCTCTTGGGGCTGGGCCTTGGGCGCGATCGGGAACGTGACCGGGAACGACGCTTGGGTTTTGATTTAGAACGGGACCTAGAATGACGCCGATGACTCTTTGATTTTGAACGTGATCGACTTCGTTTTTTGTCAGGAATTTCTACAAGAGAGAAAAGTCAGTAGATTACTTTCCTTAATTTGGAGTTCACATGAAATTTACAACAAAGAGGTTTATTGACAAATGCACAGAGGTTTAATATTCAGTGAACATAATGCCAGGTCTACTGATACCATGAAAGACAGCATTGCAGGATCAGAGACCATCAATGAGTAAACCAGTTCCCTTAAAAGAGGTTTTTCGAATGATGAGGAGGATGTCTAGACACTGAGCAAAATTAAAAGCAACACTTGTCACTGTAGGATCAATGGCCAATTTAAGTATAATGGGCTAGATTGGGCTCCATAGCTATGGATGCAAACAGTATGATGATGACAAAACAGCATTGCAGTGCAAAAGGCTTCCTAGGCTGAAGTCAATGACTAGAGCAGAGGATATCTCCTGATGAAATCAATGGACAGGAGTCCATGACCCAGAGACTGATAGATCAGCCATATCTACTTGCCTAAAACATGCTATGCATGAATGACTACCTCTGGAGGGAAGTGGTCAAGTGCTTAGTTATAAAGTGACTTTATGACCATACAGAAACTACAATTTGATTAAGGACAGATATTTAAAAGCCACAGTAAAATATCATCTGACTTCAACTCTATACCTCTAATGTCTCCACCTAAACTGTGAAATTTATACTATTATTTTTTTTCCCTTCAATAAGAGTAGATAGGTTATCCTACTGTCTAGTTCACACTCCTTCCCAATCTTTTGAACAGAAAGAGAGATTTATCACTGGTTTCCTGTTTAGGATTAGGTTTCCAGTTCCTTCTAAAATCTTTTCCTCTTCTTTCACCTCCAGTAGTTCCTTGCAATTACACATTCATCAATCTGCTGTGAACTGTGAGAATTAAAAGGGGGGGGGAGAAAGAAAGAACATTTTTTTGGGGCCATGTTTTCTTTCCCAATGGAAAGAATTAGTCAAGTAATTTAAAAAAAAGTGTGAATGTGAAAAACATTGACTAAATCGTTATTGCCGTTTTACCATTCTAAATTCTATTCAAGCAGAAAATAACTTTTGCCCCATTTTAGGTTTTATGAAATGAAGTCTCACGATGTAGTGTGAATGACATTAGCAAACTAGAAGATTTGGAATGTAATCTGCATGTCAAAAAGATTTTGTTGATAAGCATAGACAGGTGTGTGACACTCACCCGGTTCAACTGCTGCCAATATCAATGACTGAGCTTCTTTGACTTTCTTCATGGCTTCTTCAAGTTCACGCTGAGCAGTCTCTTGGTTTTTATTCACTGGCTTCACAATGGAGCTGTTAGCATGACATACCCTGGAGAGAAAACGCAATACACAAAAATAATTTCATGTTCACAATTTTGGAAAAAGTTGCTTTTGTTCCTTTAGATTTTAAAGCTAAATATCTTGGTCAAAGTCAAAACAAAGAATTATTATTAGACACCTTTCCATTTGAGCCAGCCTGATCACTTTAGTTACTATGCTCCCAATGATTCAGCCATTGTACCCTCTTAACCTTCTTCAGTTGTCTGTTGTTGCAATTGGTACCCGTTTCTTTCAATGAAGTAGAGCATGTGACTCTTCAGCACTACCACACCAAGGGATTGGAGATGTATTTTAACAAATATTTTAATCCAGTCAGCCATATGTCTGTCAAACACCTGGCCTGGTGGATTAAAGTGTTGGTTAAAACAGATCTGGTTCCCTGGCAGTTATAAGCACAATCCATAAAGGTGGACAGACTAGAGAGAATTAACTAATATGGGTTATCTCCTCCAAGCATGAAAAGCAGAATGAGAAGAATCTACCTCCATGAATTGAATAAAGGGTATTTTTTTGTTTTGTTTTTTTAAATCAATTCACCCCAAGCAAGGTGATAATGCCACTAAGATGCAATGGGCTACTGGGAGTGAAAGAGAATGAAAAAGATTTTAAAAGGAAACAGGGATAAACCTCTACTCCTGTTCAAAAGACCAGGGAGGTTTAGTTCAAAATTCTAAGGTTACAGAGTACAACAGCAAACACTTAAAGAAGGTCAGAAGGTACAATGGCTAAAATGTTGTGAGTATAACTACAATGAGCATACTGCTCTGAATAGCAAAGGATATAATAAAAAAAAAAGTGGATAATCAATGTTATAGAATGGAGAGAATGTTAAATTGTTTAAGATCATCTTGAAATCAGATTTTTACATTTTCAAAAAATTTAAAAAAATAAATAATTCTAATTTTTCTCTCCTTGATTACTTGTGCAGATGTTATCAATAATTCAACTTTGCTGATTAAGAAAACTTATTGAAATTAAAGTTAAAAATGCATAAGTTATTGGTTCAACTATTAAAATAACTTGTTTTTTCAATGAGAATTTTTACTAAAGATTATTTCATAAAATTCAATTTTAAAACCATCCCATTGCATCTCAAAGTAATGCAAAACATGTAAGGAGCTAAGAGAGTTTCAAAGGGCAATGAAAATGAAAGGTTAAAGAATATCCTGTAAAAAGCAATTTCTTTTCTTTCCAACTATGTTGTGCTTCTTGGCTGCATCAACTGGGAATGCCCTCACAATTTACAAAGCTTCAAACTTTTTGGCTAGAAACCATCAAAAGTCACTATAATTCAGATTGCAGCATTCATGATATTAAATAGAAATAAAAAGGGCTTTGTATTTAGAACAAAATGAAAGATTCTTAAAAGTTTATTAATAAATCAGAACATGTTTGGTTCAGGTCCTTACTTAATGGGACGTCCTCCAAACATTGTATTGTTATAGACAAGCACAGTGGCAACAGATCGTTGATCAGTGAACTCAACAAAAGCTGAGCGAGTGGGGAGGTTATCTTCACCCGCCATTCGAATATATTTCACTTCACCCACTTGGCTGAAGAATGCCATTAGCTGCTCTGCAGTGACCTGAAAAAGAAAAAAAAGAAACACGGGAAATGAAAATTATTTTAAAGTTTTAATCTAAAATTAAACAAATTAGAAACAGCAATAAACATTTAAGCAACATCAATGTCGAAACGGATTACTTGTGCTTCCTTCTTTATCAGGTGAAATTTTCTATTGTCCATGCTTAGAATATTGCTGTCACATATGGTCTGGTGCCCCTACTATATATTTAGAGATACTTGATAAAATCCAAAGAATAATCAGCAATATTATTGGTCCTGACCTTGCATCTTAGCTTCAGTCACTTTCCCACTGCCATAATGTTGCTTCCCTAGGACTTTTCTATAAATACTTTCATGATAATTGTTCAGATGAGCTCTTCGCTATGTTACTAGACTTTATGAAATTAAGCGCAATACTAGACAACAAGGTCTCATCAATTTGCAGTTGAATTGGCTTAAATGTAACCATAAGTTTTATACTAACAGTTTCTTTTCTCGCATTTCTCACTTGTGGAACTATTTTCTGGCTCCATGCTTTCCAGTTAACTTTAATCTTCAAAATTTAAATGCAATGTCAATCATTATCTATAGTTTTCCTGATTACTCTTCTATTGCTCTTACTCCTCTCAGGATTCCCAGTTTCATGTAAAAAAAATTCCAAAGCTTTTCAAGGACTTTTCCAGCACTATGTCATATCAAGAAGTTTCAAGAACTGAAACTTGTTTGCATGTACACACACACACACACACACACAAAGTGAATGGTCATCAATTTCAAAAACACAAACTTTGTGATTTATCTGTTAATAGATTGACAGATGAGATGGTCAAAGAAAACCTACAGCTGGTTGCAATAAGTCATGTCATGTGGATCAGTTGAAAGCAATGAAGAAATCAAAGTATTGAAGGCTAAAACACAACTGAATGCAGACTTGGTTATGTTACACATTTCGTGCAGCATTCTACACAGTTTGGAGTTCTACTAATTCTTACTGCTACACATTTCAGCTATCTAGACGACTCATGGTTTGTGAATGTCTCCAAAAGTCTTGACTGTGGCACATTTCCTGGGAAGTTAAGTATAATGGTTTTAATGAACACAACTACAAACAGAAATTTTCACCAAAAAACTACACATTTTAGCTCTGCCTACTACTCATGGCTTTTGTTGCACATAGCACAGAACACAATGATGTTACCATTTTTTTTCAGTTCATCTAGTTTAGCATTCAGCTCCTCTTCCAATTTGGATATCTCTATGGACTTGTCCTTTGCATTTCTTTATATGGCATTGAACTTTGCTCTAAGTGTGAAGTTCTGAGTCTGCTCAGCTTTCTCTTCATAGCTGTCAGCCGACTTGAGCAAATTGTGTGTGCAACTTTCAATTTTATGTCTTAGTCTTCAGTTCTTCAATTTCCATAAGCATGGATTTCCGTTTTATCCAGCTGCTTCTTACTGTTTTTCTTCTTCTCAGCCTCAAGGTATTGGTTGTACGGTTCTGACATTGGAAGGACAATAGACAAGAACCTTAGTCATGGGAACATTCCCAGCGCCTCCAACCATGGCCAAATAGTCCATGATAATCAAAGTTTAAACAATTACATAATTAATAATAAAATTTAAAGTACTATAAAAATTTAATAATAAAATAACCATCATGATAACAACAATTAGTAATAAAGAATAAAATGAAATAAAAAATATAAAATAATAATAAATACCATAACATTTCATAAACGTCTATCATGGTATTTCATCTCAGTTATTAAATTTTAAAATTAATCCAAGAAAATTTTATATTATTTTAAATTTTATTATTTTTCCATAAAGCATCTTCAAACGTAACTAAAAGTCAATAAAATGATAGATAATTGCTGAAAATATGTTAATTTGTAAAAATTACTAGAAACCAAAAAAAAAAAACAAAAAAAAACAAAAACAAAAAAAAACAAAAACAAAAATGCATTCACTTACATTTCGTAAATTTATGTAAATTTTGGTCATCCATACAAGCTGTCAACACCTTGTAGCTCATTGATAACATCAATAAAGACACAAGAAAAACAGGACCCATTGTTAAGAAATGCTTGTGTAATTTTTTTTGTGCTATAAATAATATTTGTTTCAAATCAGATTAATTTAACTTTAAATTTGTTGATTTTACTCAAATGTGTCACAAATATATATTTTATTTTTGAAAGATTTTTAAAACTGATAATTATATTTTATTTTAAAACTTGTTAAAATGTAAGAAATGGCTACAAACAGATTTTTTTAAATTGACCAAATATTTGACATTCCACTCTATATAATTTCTAACTGAAATACACCAGAGTATTTGCCTACTGGAAATAGTCAATTTAATCATTTAGCTTTCAATTAAAGCTAAAAAGAAATTTTTCAAGAATGTGTTTTCATTTTTTAAAATTCATTTTAAACCTTAGGTATTGAAAATCTTAGCAAAAAAAAGTGGAGGTACGGACTGTAATGTAATTTATTATTTTCCTTTCAACAAATTCAATGAGTGTAAATTAATTTATCTTCGATAGAGATGTTTACTTGTCTCTGACACCTTTTATCTTTACTTATTTTTCTTGTTGAGTAAGGGTAACAGCTAAGAGAAGACACATCTTCATATTCTTTCCCCCTTTCTTTCTCATTACATAGATGAGAAAATACAGAAGTAACTACAAGGTCATCAATTTGTTCTAATCAATGAAACAAACTACTGTTTGCAATAATTGCCAAATATTATTTACAACTAAAAAACATTATTCTTAAAGGAAATTTTAGCTTGTAAAAAAGCCAAATTTTTGGGACTTGGCATTTTGACTTTCATGAATTGAGAAAAGGGATATGTAAGCAGACCAATTTAGAAAATTCCAAGACTTTTCAATGAGCTTTTGAGCTATTGCTGTTTTTCCAGGACTTTTCAAGCTCTGGAAAAGGCCCTGTCAATTTTCAAAGACTTTTAAGGTTTCCAGGACCTGCACAAACCCTGAGTAATGTTTCTATTCCCTTGTGCCTTAGTGGTTTTACTGTCTTGCTTGGGGTGAACACAATTAAAAAAAATAAGAAAAGTGGTGTCATTTAAAAAGAGCTGATTTTTCAAAATTTATAAGAAAAAACAACTCTGTGACTTTCCATTAGCTTAATAACACTTCAAAACTGTCAAAGCTTTCATTTACTTAAAAACTTTTTGTTCAAAATTATTTTTCTTTATCTGAGTCAATATATTCAAGATTTTAAAAAAATGAAATAAAATAAAAATGAAACCAAGCAATTCAATTTCATGAAAAAAATATAAAAAACAACTGAAATTGATTTTCCATAGTTTGCTGCATTTATAAAAATGGTAACTGTCATCTGCAATCTAAAAAAAATAGAAAAGAAATAAACTTACAGATTTATCAATGTTACAAACATAGACAGTACGTCGAATCTCTTCAATTTTGCTGGGGTCTGTCGTACCAGGTAAGGGTGGGTATTGAGCTAAGCCAAGAGCAGTGAGCCGAGGATCGTAAGTTGTGATGACCAAGCCACTTCCTTGACCAGTCATCTAGAGAGAAAGAAAAAAAGTAACAGAATTTGCATTTTAACCCACTGAACCCACTGTACCAATACATTAGCATCTTATTCAAAAAAAGAATACTTAACCTAACACGTAAGTAGAAGAAGGCTGTTCCAATGTTGTAGTAGCCATTTGCTGCTTTGTATGGCTGGTTTGTTATAAACGCAGTTTCAAAATAGGATAAAAATAGGATAAAATTTAAAATCAATTCAAGAGTCAAGAATGTCTCGAACTGTTTTCTTTTCATTAAGAAAAAAAAGCCGAAAATTCTCAAGATTGACTACCTGACTGACAACATTACTTGGCCAGGTTGGCTGTCCTGGAATCATCCCTGCTATGGCAGATGGGGCAAGCTGTAGAGCTGTGGTTTCATCAGGAATCTTACCTAAAACATAAGAAAATGAAAAACATCTAGATTTTAACTAATTCATGTAAATGAACAGAGAGAAAAAAAAAAAAAAAAAGAAAGAAAAGATTCAGTATAAAAGGAAACGGGCACTTGTGTGAATGTTTGACAAAATAGATTATAAGTGACAGCTCTTATTCATGGAATTTCAATTAAAAATCAATTACATCAAAAAACATACTTGAATTTGAAAATATTCAAAGTCATCTGTTGTAATATTATTTATATGACAGCAAACCAATTGAAATTACAAAAGCATTTTACTAATAAAAATTGCTTAAATCAAGCATCACCACAGCATTTTTGGAAAACTGAAAAAAGAAAAAAAAAACAAAAAAACAACAACAATCAAACAAGATAAACGAAATGAACTGACTTACCATCCATGACTGGTACCACAATAAGGGCTCGGTCAATGAAGACAGTGTTAGTAAGGTGCAAAGCAACACCAACACTACTAGCATCTTCAAATCGTACGTAACAGACACGAGCAGATACCTGAGACTCAGAATCCCTGAAACAAACAATTCCATTTTTAATTAAAAAGATAATTATTGCAAATTATATTTAAGCTAATTACATTGCTAACAACAAATCATAGCAAATGGAACAATTCTACAAATAAGAAATTAAATGTTTTTTAAGACTAACAAATTAGAATGCAGTGCTTTAAGAGAAGAAATAATTTTCAGCATGAAATCTACAAAAAATTTCTAAGAAATAGGAACTTGTGATTGTAAAGCTTTAATTTCACTGAAATATCAGATGTAATATAACTCGGTCTTAGGTTTGGAATTGGGAGACATGATTGATATACACACACACGTCAGAATAAAATGATTATAAATTAAACAAATGCAGAAAAAATAAAGTGGAGGCACAGGAAATTATTTGATTCTAAATAGCAAATAAAGGCAGGCAGAATGTCAATTTCTCCACCCAAGAAAAAAAAAATTTACTTAATCAATGAAATTAAACAGTGTGTATGTGTGTGTGTATAGTGGGTTGGGGTTCCATGTGTAAATGCATAAAAAACTTTTCTATTGCTCAAAACATACATCAGTAAAATATAAAGTTTTACATGTTCCTGCTGTGTAACATTAAAATCTGCTAAAATACTTTGCCCGATACCTGAAGAGAAACTATAATTTGTTGGAAAGACCTATGAAGTAAGTCAGTTATTAATACTGGACAAAGATCATATATTCAAAAGCTTTTCAATCCAGAACTGAACTTGTGTATCAATTCTCATGTGCTGAAATTATCAATAGGTGAAATATTGACCCATCACTGAAAGTATTGACTATTATCACTAAATATTTAGGTTTCTTTTCTTTAAAAATATCATTAATGTTATTTTTGCCTTACTAATGTTCCTGATTTGTGTATATATTTGAGAATCAAAAAAATTGCTTAACCTAAACAAATTGTGATGCATTTTCATGATTTTGACTTGTATTTAAAAATTAATATAGTGGAATCCTTATTTTAATGACCTTGGTTTAGTTACTTTGTTCAGTTAATTTTGTAGACAATCCATTTTTGAATGTACATAGTATCTAAACTCTTTGGAACAAAGATAAAATGAAGCAAAAACTAGTTAATTTGCATAAAAAATTGTAGGAGTACCAGCTTCATATTCTCTTAGGTATCAAAGTTATAAGGTGCCATAATCAACAAAACCATGATTTTGGCATGACAAGTTGTTCTAGAAAAATGTTTTAACCCTAGGCAGAAGTTTCTCAACAAAATGAAACTTCTGCCACATAGTTTTTAGACATGAAAGAATACGAGGTAAAAATATTAAAAAAAAAAAAATTCTTAAACTGCCTAACTGGTCTGCTGATATTATTAAAATAGACAATTTTAAGCATGTTTAATTTTTTTTTATTAAATTAAACAATTATCAAACAGTAATACTGATAGTCCTATAACAGTGGGGAATATGGTTACTGCATAGAAATAATCTGTTTGGTCCTAAATGACAGGAAAACCTAATTTGGATGCTTTATCTGACATACTTTGTAAATAAGAAACTCACAAATTGGACAGTATCTTTTTACATTTCGAACATTCAGGTTCTTATAAAAATAAAAGTACATAAGACTGTTTATGCTTTATAATCTAAAGTAAATATTAACTATTGTCACCAACATTCAAATCTGTAGATGCAATATTCTTAGAGTAATGAATGTTAGAATTTTGTTGACAGTCTTATTTATCAAAATGCAAAAAGTGCAGTGAAATTTGACCTAATGGTATACAATAAATATTATTCCATCTTTTCAAATTTCTCTCATCAGCCTACTATACCTACATTCTGTTAAAGGCATATGTAGAGCATCTTATATAAGTGGACATTGAGATCAACACCAATTGGCAACAGTTTGTTTCATGATTCAATGCAATCTTCAAGGTATGTGTTGTGTATATAAATAGTTGAGCCAAAAACATGTGGCCTGAAGACTGCATTGAAGCATGAAATAAACTGTCGCCAATTAGTGTTGACTTCAGTGTCTACTTTTATATATATGCTCCATCTCTGATATTAAGTACTTTTACACATAAATATGGTATACCTATATATTATATACACACACACACAATCGCATTTCAAATCAACCAATGCCAAAAGGTACCATCTCAGAAAATTCTAGGAAAATTCACAGTTGATCTTTGATCAAATTTATTGTATAATAGTTTTAAAATGTGTTTGTGGGAAGGGGCCCAATGTTAAGCTGATGATTCAGGAATCTGATGTTGTCACCTGCAGGAAATGTTCTAAAAAGTAAATAAATTATCTACTTCAATATAATTGCATGTGGGACTTTAGCTTTGCACAAAAATGCAAATTGGCAGCTGATTTAAAAAATGACCTACAATCTGTTAATAACTGGGACAAGGAATGGCTTCTTAATTCTAATGACTCCAAAATTAAACTTCTCTTTCAATCATCTAAGAGAACCTGTTTTGTCTTCCACAAGCATGGCTGATGCTAACCTCCAGGAGAGTGACTCATTGCACTTTCCCAGACTAATGTTTTCTGCCAACATGAAATGGAAAGATTATATTGAATCAATTGCTAAGTCTGCTGCTAAGAAAATTGGTTTACTGTTGTGCAAGACAATTTTTTGTCAACAGAATCTATCTTACATATTTATAAGTCTATTTGTACATGCTTTGAATATAGCTTTCCACATTCTGGTCTGGTGCTTCTGCTACATATTTAAAGATTCTTGATAAAAATCAAAAAAAAATTATTAATCCTGACACCTCAGCTTCAGTCACTTTCCGACCACCATATGTAACTCACCTGTTCCTTTTTCTATAAATACAGTCATGGTAATTGTTCTGATGAACTTTCCTCTATGGTACCTAGACTTTATGAATTTAAGCACAATACTAGATTGGCACCAAGGCTTCATCATTTTACAGTTGAAATGGCTAAATGTAACCATAAGTTCTATGCTAACAGTTTCTGCTATTGCACTTCTTGCTTGCCAGTAATGTATAATCTTCAAAAAATTTAAATGCAATGTCAATCATTATCTTGTCTTCTTAATTCCTGTTCTTTTATTGTTCTCTCTCCTTAATAGTGTTTTTTTCTCATATTCTCTCACACTCAGTAACCCCTTGCATCTTATGACTGTCATAACCTAGGAAAGGTTACTGAATGAGGAATAACCAAAATGGAGGTTGGAAATGAAATTGTAATCTTTATAACATCAACAAAATACAATACTCGCCAGCAGCATGAAGTAGGTAAACCACTGCTAGTAGTGGATTACTTAGCATATTACCCCCAGTTAAGATAGTGTCCAACATATTTATGAGGATTGGGACATACCCATTAGTGTTCATAAGTATGGTATATAACTGACTTTATTGCCTTGCTTGGGGTGAAATGATTAAAAAAAGTCCTACATGGCAGTGAATGTTGGACAATGTCCTCACACATGAAGAGGAGACTTGAAGCAACAGGGATGCGGATTGTACTGATGAATACTAAGAATATCACAGACAGAACATGTGAGTAACAAGGAAGTTTTAGGGGTGAAAGGAATTACAAGGAAACCACTGCTAGCAATCAGAAAGAGAGCTGGAATATGGGCGATATCAAATGAAGAAAGAAAACTTGGAGAATTTAACTCACAGGACATATTGAAGCAGGGGGTGGGAGGGAAACAGTGACTGACCTACTCGACAAATGAATGAATGGCAGAACAAGGAAAAAAAAAGAATTCATAAAAGGGCAAGAGTTACTTAGAGCAACAAAAGAGAGGAAGTTGTGAAGAGCCATAATCACTTACATTCTGAAAAGACAGGGCACATGAAAGATTCCCATGTTTAAGTTAATTTTTAACATTAAGACTATTTTTCTGAAAAACTTTGTAATTTTAACTAACAAATTATTTTTCAATATGAGAAAGTTTGTTTTTTTTTAAATTTTTACCTCAACTTCAAATGAAAAGCACAAAATATTTATGACGAGAATTATATATAAACTTTCCAACCTGTTTATGGGATTTTTTTTCCACACAATATTCATCAATGTACTTTCCCTAACTTTTTTTCTGATCAGCTAAATTGTTTTCTCTCATAAAACAATTCTGTTTGAAAGGATTAAAGAATTTCTCTTTTATTCTAATTGTGGACCAATCAAAGCTTTGCAGAAAACCAATCATCCCATTCTAAGGCAATGATTGTTTACAGCATCACATTTACAAAATAGGCACAGGTTTTATTCTGCAAATTCTACAGTTGGCTAATGAGAAAAAATAAGTAAACACTATTTTCTTTTCCAATGTATCATTCAAATGAATTGACAAATTCACCTGTAATTTTCCTGAAAATTCATGTACTATTTTAGAAAAGATAAAAAAAAAAAAAAAAAAAAAAAAAAAATCGATTCCAATCAATATAATTTCTATTTAAAATACACCAGAGTATTTTACTTACTGGAAATATTAAATCTAGTCCTTTAGTTTTCAATTAAAGCTAACATGTAAGCTTCAAGAAAGCTTTTTCATTTATAAAAAAACATTTTAAACTTAAGTGTCACAAATTAGTGGAGGTACCTAATTTACTTGATTGGGACAAATGTTTATTGAAATTATCCTTCAAAAATTCCTCTAAGGCATCAATATTCATGTTCTGAGTGCTTTCAGAGTGTTCTTTGATTTTTTTTCACCTTTCAAACCTCCCCCCTACACATGTTTGCACCTACTGCATCATTATCACTTCAATGAGTCTAATTTCTGCTGAATTCTTAAGATTAAAAACAAAAAGTATCAAATGGGCTCCAGATTCAGTCATGATTAATAACAAAATAAAAATTTACACTTGTCTGCAAAAAATTATAATTAGTGTGGGTGTGTGTGCATGCATATATATATGTATGTGTGTGTGATGTTGGATGGCTTTGCTTGTCACTTTTGCTATGTTGAGCAAAAGCTCATTATCACTTTCAAAAAATGCTTGTTGTATTTGAGACTTTGTAGATGCCGGTACTAGTAGTCACGCCTTCCAATAATATCCAAACTAGTAATACTTGTTCAAGTATCAATTGCCAAATAGCATAATGATCAGAAGAGAATCGTAATCCATATAGTAGTAGAGTAGAAAGAGTGAACATATAGCAATAGGGGAAGAGTGAAAAGTGAACATATTGCCATCACACTACTTCCTTTATGATCACGTAATCTACTTAATTGAATCGCCCATGTTACTCACTGGCGATCTAGTTTCAAACCACAGTGTCAGCAACAACACTTATACAACACCTCCCCTTTAAAATGACCTCCCCTGGGGTCTATATTTTTTTGCTTTTGTTCGATGGTTAGAAACACTGTTAGCCTTCTTTTTCTTTTGCCATAAACCCTCAGTTGCAATATTTCTGCTGGCATAGGAATGTTGAATGTGTCATATAGGATTTCCATTGGTACTACCATTCAGGGACTTTTTAATTCAGTGAAATAACATTTTGGCTTGTGCTCCCATTTTTGTCCTTGTATTATGTACGCCATTCTGTTAATACATATCTTAATGACGCCATCTTGCCAAAATTTCTTCCTTCACTGATATATCCTGAAAAATATTTTTTCTCCAGGTTTGAGATAGGTATTTGTGTAGTTACTCTTTGATGTTCTTGTCTTGCACTCAGATAGCAGCTTATTGAAGACAGACTTGAGTTTTCTGGCGAACATCAATTCTGCTGGTGACATCTCCGACAAGGTGTTTGGGTTTGGCCTAATACGGTAAATACTTAAAAACTGTTGAATCATAATCTTGTCCAACTCCTCTCCCTCTGATTTCCCTAAAGCCCTCTTAAACGTGTCAACAAAACATTCTGCTAATCCATTCTTGCGGTGATATGGAGGAATAGTAATGTGTTCAATTGCTAGAGACTTGCAAAAGAACTTGAATTCACTGGATGTGAATTGTGCACCATTGTCAGACACAAATGAGTCAGGAACACCAAATCTCACAAAAATTTCATGCAAGAAATTAATAGTTACTGTGGTAGTCTCCTGCATTTTAGTACTTCTGGCCATTTCATCAAGTTATCTACTACTACTACCAGTTAGTACATTCCATTTATTGGTCCAGCAAAGTCAATATGAATTCTAGTCCATGGTCTATCAGTTGTCAGCCAAGGTTGAACTTTTACAGGCAGTGACTTTGCTGCCAGAGTGCAACCTCTGCATAATTTTACCATATTTTCTATATCTTTCTCCATATTCGCCCAGTAGATGTAGCATCTCATTAAAGATTTCATCCTAGAAATCCCTGGATCTCCTCTATGAAATTCTTTCAACATCCATCTTTGTAACGCTGCTGGTATAAGTACTCTCTCACTGTACATTAGTACACCATCACACAATGAAACTGCACTAGTATTTCCAATAGTATTTTTTCCTGTAGATTTTAGTTTATCCTTCATTTTCATTACAAAGTGGTCATTCTCTGCCTTAATTTTTATTTCTTCTAATGTAATCGGCAGTTCTCTTATGGTATTATATAGTACATTGCTTTATTTCGCTTTTGGCCATAATCAAAGCAATTACCACGTCTTCCAGTGGTTCACCACAACTTAGCAACTTAGATGGTAAAAATTTCATCTTGTAGTTATAATTTAATAGGATTATTCCCCAGTGCTGCAGCCTATTCACTGTATGTGTAGAAACACCCTTTTAGATCCATATATTGATAACGGTCAATTGTCCATTTGAGGAATAAATTCTCATCCATGTAAGAACTTGTGGAATTTCTTCATTGCAAATATAATAGCCAATGCTTCTTTCTCTATTTGACAATAGCTTCTTTCAGCTGCAATTAACGACCTTGAAGCATACGCTCTTGACTTTGTTGATCTGTCATCATACTTATGTAATATCACTGTTCCAATCACTTGTGTGTGTGTGCGCGCGCGCATACACACAGAGAATAAAACACTGAAAAAATATTTTAAAGACACTTCTAAGATTTTTCTAACATTGTGTAAAAGATGGTGCTGATGAATAATAATAATACTACAGAGGAGCGATATATTTTTATTTACATTATTTGTGCATAATAGTTCTTTAATTTTGCATAAAATACAATTTTTATATCAATTTTTTGGGGGGGACTTGGAACGAATTAATTTATCATTTTAAATGGGGAAAATTGTTTCGACATACGAAATTTCCAGTTACGAATCCACTTCTGGATTAAATTTGTTCCACTGTAATCTGAAAAGTTAAAAAAAAATCCAGGAAGAGACTAACAAAAAGAAAACAAAATGTCCAGCTGCTGCCATGCCACACCTTACAATAAGAGGGAGGGAAAACTAGATGCAGCTTGCGCGTGTGTTTTGCTGACTTATTTTTCATTATAGTCCATGTTTTGTTGTATAAATAAAACGATGACTCAATTTGTTTTGCAAAACAAAGTTGGTGATTTATTACTCAATCCTACGTATTTGCTTTTGCGTTATTAACAATTATTTGTATGGCTATAAACAGCGGCAATATATTGTTTTAAAAAAAAATTAATCTTGTTACATTTTTAGGGAAAATTTTTTTGTTTTTCTTTTTATTTCTTTTGACAAAAAAATAAATCAAAAATTACCATGAGTGTTTCGTAGTATTTCCATGGTGCTAAAAATTGACGCAATGCAATCTCCCTATGTGTAGATTAGGTTTGTTTTTTAATTAGCATTCCAAATCCTAGTTTTTTACCTGTCCTCGAATAGTAACACCTGCTGATGCCGTTGGAAAAAAAAAAAAAAATGAAAACAAGTATTTCAACAACCCAACCATGAGGTAGCTGTTTTTTTTTTTTTTTTTAAGTAAGCCTGGTTTATATTATAAATTCAGTACAAAACCAAAACGAGTTAGGAAGATTCTGTTGCGCCAATCTTCTAAGCAAAAAAAAAAAAAAAAAGGGTCAACAAATTCTAAGATTTCCATTTCTAAAAGTGTTTTTGCTTAGTTTGGTTCTCAATTCAGATGAAGTGTAATTTTAAATCGTGACCTATTGTTATTCTGGTTAAAAATGAAAATTTGATCAGAATAACAATTTGGGAGAAATATTTTTTAAATCATAAAAATAAATTTATTTCTTTAATTTTTTTTTTTTTTTTTTACTAAAAAAATACACAAAATTGAAAACATTCTCCAAACAAAGAATTGTTTCGTTGATTAGCAGCATGTATCCTCTCAATTTTTCAGATGATGTTCAATTCTCAACCCATTATTAAAAAAATAACTTTCAGGTTTAAAAATTAGCAAAGTAAATAATAAGACTTGTTTTTCTTGATGCTAATCAAATGAGACATTATCTGAAATAGCATTTTCGCCAAAATGATTATCGAGTTTTAAATAAATGTTTTAAGTTTTGATTATGTTTCCCTGAACGAAGCACATGTAAAGGAATAAAAGAAATATTTGAAAAGGACTGAAGAAATTAAAAATAAAATCGTCGTTATTTGGAGATTATTGTGAACGAAGAGGATTATTTGTTTAGTTTTTTTTTTCTGATTTTCTATTTAAATGCACGATATAAAACTATATCGAATTAATCCCAATTTCATATCATCTAAAAAGTAAAAATTCATTAATCGAGAAATAATCAAAAAATATTTGGGAAATTCATTATGTTTACTGTGTACGGACAGATCATCTGCAAAAGTTAGGAAAACAAAAGTGAATAGGTATTCTTGCAATAATACACTGTAAACTCAAGAACATAATCCCATCTGATTTATATTTCTGATTAAATTTTAAACATACAGAAAAGGGATCAATATAATTCGGTACCTCTTCTTAAAAGGCTACGACGGAGTAGAGAATTAATCGTACTTACTCAGACGGGTACATCCTAACTTCTTCTATTCTACCCAGAAAAGAGAACAGAGTTTTCATTTGTTCTTTTAAAGCTCCAGGTGCAACATTCGTTACCTGGATAACTTTTGTATCAAGTTTACACTCGGCAATGGCAGAAGCCGCCATCGTTGCTATCAGTATAGTGAAAAATTTACAGCGCCGGTAAGATGGCGACCAACGCCAACCGGAAGTAATTATTGCGCACGCTCATACTTTAGCTTCCTGAATTATGGAACAACATAAATGTTATAATCTTTTAATTTCTCAAACAGTTTTCTATTGAAATACTTTCATAGCTTACTATAATTCATCACGAGGCTATTTTCATAGATTAAAAACGGTCATTGTTAAAAAAAAACATCATTTGTTTGATTATGGATATAGTTCTGTAGGTTTTTTTTATTGAGATGAATCAAGTGTTTATCAGAATAGATGGGACTATTTTCAAATAATGTACAAAATTAAATCATATAAGAAAGAATCTATTTTGAGAGTGTGATTGATGTAGAGGGAAAGTTTACATTAAATGATGTTTTATCTATGTTTTTAGAAGATATAAACATTTATAATAGAAAATAAATATTTAATCATATAAAAATAAAGGATGAATATAAAAAAATAATGTTACAATGAACTAGTTTTATACTCCAATGCAAATTAGATCTCTTTCTGATTCACTCAATACATGTTGGCCGGATGTAAATACTGAGAAAGTAATACCCAAAATAAAAAGAGTTGTCCTCTGTGCAGGGGCTCCAAGCATCACACCCGGCCCACAAATAAATACCCTAAAATATATATGTATATAAAACACAACATAAAAAAGCCTATCATGAACATTAGCATTAAAGAAAAAACATGTAAGGGGGATGAGTCAGGAAACCACCAGATTTGCTTTTAAGAAAGCCACTCATAAATGACTGAGACAGAATGTGGCCAACAGGCCAGGTGTCAACACTGGCAGCTCTCGATGTCAACACTGTGACTTCAGTCAACTGATCTGATACAAATATCCACTCAAGACCCACCCTCCTGCAAACATTTAAAATATCCAGAGATATTCTACTTGCATCCTCTATATTGACAAAATCAGATTCAATGCTTCACTAATCCACTCCAGGCCTCTCTTGACATCACCACTGTGACCTCTGTCAATTGACCTGACAAATGCATCTATGGCAGGCCTTACTAATTATTCTTCCTACAAGCCACCTCCCTCATCTATATTTAGAGACACACCAGTTCACATCTGCTGTATTGGCAATACAAATGAATTTTATATTTACAATTCTCATCTTTTCCTTTTGCCTCACTGGAGGTACTGTTGTTTCACTTGTCCTTCCATGATATCATATGCATTTTTATAACACAAGGTTTGTTTATTGCACTTTCTTTTGTGAGGATTGTTTAAAAAATAATTATAAAAAGAAAGCCAGACAATTAGTTAATAAAAAAATGGCTTGGATAAATTTGATGTGTAAAACTTTATGTATGTGAGGTACAGATCTGACCATGTAAATACTGCCAAATTGAAGCCTGATTTTATGAAAAAGATATATGCATAAAATTTGGTTTTCAAATTTGTAAAAATGTTTCAAGTTTTATGGTCTCAAAACCTGCCTAAACAAAGTTGGCAAGGTAGTGTAGTTTAAGCGATACATCAATAGAAGTAGATAGATTTGCCTATTGTCTGGTTCATGCTCCTCCTGGTTTTTTGAACAAGAGTCAAGGTTTATCCCTTATTCTTGTTTAGGATTGGATCTACTTCAACTCTATACTTAATGTTGCTGTCTGAACTCTGAAATTTTATTTACTAATTATTTATAATTTTTTTCTTTTCAATAGGAATAAAGAGGTTCACCTATCATTTGGTTCACACACCTCCCTGGTCCAGGAGTATAGGTTTATCCCTTGTTCCCTGTATAGGATAATGTTTCTGGTTCTTTCTAAAATCTTTTCATTCTCTTTCACTTCCAGTAGCCCCTTGGATCTTAGTGGAATTGTCACCTTGCTTGGTGTGAATTGATAAAAAAAATAAAAACATTCAGTAATTTTTTCCAGTGGGTAAAGTAAATTATTAATCCAAGGTATCAAATTCTTGTTTCAACTGAGAACCGATTCATGGCTATTTAAGAAGTCTGGCTTGTTAGACCAAGACAAGGAACTTAGCTTTCACATTCAAAAAACAAATGCAGAAGCTATAAGTTATTAGCAGCTGCTAGGAGAGCAAAAGGCTGAAGAGATTTGGCATTCACAAGGACAATGCTGATGACTACTATGACAACATAAAGGAAAAAAAAAAGAAAGAAAACAGAAAGAATATTCACAAAATTAGAGGTATTAACCATGATTTGAACTGTTATAAGAAAAAAATGTGAGATTTATTGCACTATTATATTTCAGGTTTAAAAACTGAATTATTGTTTAAATTTCACAGTAATGCTTGTGAATTTGCCAGCATTCTCAAAGATTTTCAAATGTTGAATGTATGAGTGTAAGTGAATATTTTTTAGAAAAAACTATAATTGTTTTTACCTTTTATGAGCCTAACATACTGTGATTTTAGAACTTGTTATCTTGCCTAATTGTAAGGCTCACAAAGGAAAATTTTGTGCAAACTTGTATTGTAAACTTGTATTCTGTTTTATTATTTCTTGTGCTACTTGATAAATATAAATTTCTTTCCAATTACACATCAGAATAGAAGTCTTGTTTTGTTTTCATTTGTACCTTTCACAATACTCAGAATAAGCAATGTGACGTTTTCACTTCTCTTCCACTCCCCACCCCACCCCAAAATCCCCTTAAAAGCCACTGACAAAATTTCAGCAAAAGTGGAAAGAATAAAAATCAATAAACACAAAGAAAAATGTGTGAGAGAGAGAAGATATGACATTTTTATAAAATTAACCTCATTTACATACTATATTAACATTAATTTAATTCAGAAAAAGAAAAATCATGAATTTATCATTAAGTAAAAGTAATTATAGATTTGCTTCTGTAAAACTCATTTTATATTTAATGAGCAGGGATACCTTGTGTGTGCAATTTTTTTAATCATTTCACTTCAAGCAAGGCAATAAAGCCACTAGGATGCAAAGGGTTACTGAGAATGAAAGAAACAAAGAGGACAATAAAAGGACAGTGTTGGGACTTTGAAAATACACAAAAATAAATAAATAAAAAATACATATTCATTAATTCTTAAAATAGGCACATAAAAGCAGTCTTAATGTCACCTTACATGAACATAGTAGGAAACACTTATAACCTTTCTCAACACAACAAAAACATATTAAATGTTGGCTTCTATTTGATACCTATCTCTGACATATAAAAGAACAGACCAAAAGTACACATGAGAATACCTACAGCAAGTACACACAGGAACACACACATACAGAGTACTCAAAGCAAGCACATACAACATATTCACTGACACCATACTGAAGAAAGCCTTCCCAATCAATCACTTATGCCATATAGAGGGATCAACATAAATGAGTTAAAAAAAACTTGCATAAATAGCAACTGCATCAACTTCTGAAAAAGAAACTTCCTAAGTGAGTTACTTCTATTCACAAATATATTACAGGGTGCAGCTGGTATTTGAGGACAGATTTTATGGATTAGTAAAAAAAAACTTGCTGAACAAATGAATATAATTATATTTGATTACAAACAAGTAAACATGAAATTTAGCTATTATTTAATTTTATTCAATAAAACCACCACTAGCAACAATAACTGCCTCTACATGAGGTCGAAATCATCTACAAGCTCTGATTAATTGGTCCTTATTTACGTCAGACATTACTCGAACTATTGCAGCTTTAAGAGAGTCTTTGGTGTTATGAGGCTGTTTATTAACCTCCTTCTCAATAATGCTCCACACATAATAGTCTAGTGGATTGAGATCTGGAGAGTTAGGAGGCCAAATGTTTGGTGTGATGTGGTCGTACAAATGGTCAGCAATACATTCTTGTGTTCGTAGAGCCTTGTGGGATGGAGCCGAGTCTTGCTGGAATATGAAAGGCCTGCCGTTGCATATGTTGTCAATCCAGGGCTTGACAACTGTTTCTAGAACCTCAATGTAAGCAGCAGAATTTACTCTAAGACCTTGTGGGAAAAAGTGTGGTGGCATAAAATGCCCTTCATTGCTAACAACACCCAATACCATAACACTAGAAGGAAATTTTTTGCGCATCACTCTTGGCACCTCAGAAGGCTCTGAACAAAGCCATCTGTCATTTCTTCTTTTCAGTTTTTGATCTTGATCAAAATTTTTCTCATCTGAGAAAAAACAAATCACACCAGTTTCTGAAGGATTTCTAAGTTTGTTTAAAAGCCACTTGGATCTGTTTAAACGGTTTTCTTTTGTGTTTTCAGACATAAATTAACCTCTCTTCATCACGTAGGACTTGTATCAAATGTCTTCATGAACATTCCTTCTGATTGTTTTTTCAGAGATATGCAGCCTTTTGACAATTGACCTCATTGATTGACCTCAGTTTTCATCAATTGTCTGCTTGACTTCCTGAATAAATTTGGATGTTCTCACTTTATCAGAACGTGCAGAATGTCTTTTATGTTTTGATACAGACATTGGGGAACTGCCAGTGTCTTCTAACTCTTTTCATATTTTGTGGACAAACGATCTTGCAACTCTGAGGAAACATGCAATATCCAAATCATTATGATTAGCCTTTAATGCCACAATCACAATATGCCTTTTCATTTCATCTGTTATCAGAGAGTTTGCCATTCTTGATTTCTGAAAAATAAAAGCATTGGTAGTTAATGGGAAGCAGTATTAATCTTAAATCTGTATGTCCTCACATACCAGCTTCCCCCTGTATGCATACACTCACACACATTTCTTTTTCTTTTTATGTGCCATGTCCTTTCATGACATAGGCAATCATGACTCTTCACCTCCCTCTATCCCTTGCAGCTCTCAACAAGTTCCTTCCCTCTGCCACCTCCCCCAGACCATGTTCTGTCATCCACTTGCTTAAGGTCGCTAGGTATGTCATGCATTGTTTTCCCTTGTCTCTGTTTCCCTCTATTCGACCTGTGTGTATCAGATTCTCCAAGCCCTCCTTCCTCATCATGTGTCCCAG